AGCCACATCAAATCGGAGTTAGAAAAAATGAATACCGAAGAGCTTCCACTTGTATTTACTACACACTTTGTGATAGGATGATTAATTTTGCGTATATGTGTCAGTGCATCAGTATAAATCCTTGTAGTATCACCAGACATCACACCATATTATTGAGGTCATAGTTGTAGAGATTTTGGTATACACGAGTGCGAAAAACAAATATCATCATCCCATAAGAATATGTAAGTTGAAACAAAGCAACTCACTTTTCACATCAAATGAAAAATTGACAAAAACAAATGTTTATTTTGCTCATTGTTTAGCGAATTTATCACAAGTTCAGACCGAAGTGACTTATGTAATGGTAAAAAACAATTTTGTTTATGATTTTTATAAATATTGTCCTAAATGGTCATGACTATCGAGCCTATGTTAAGGAATTTCTTCCGTCTAGGCTGTTTAGACTACAGTTTTGTATATTTGAACTGTGACAGAAAATGGTTGGGTTAGCAATGAAAGACTAGTACTTTCTCCATGGTTGTTAACGTATGTTTTCGTCGAGGAATCGGATTGTTGTCGGGAACGACTGATAGTTGGATAGTAAGACAGTGTCAACATGGGATCAGGTATCACTTAGTAGTGGTCCACGTTTTCAAACACAGCACATAGAGCGAGAATGCACCTAGAGGAAAGATATAGAAATAAAGAAGAAAACATTCAAAAGTGATAGAAATTCATCAAAAGAGAGCAAAGTGGAATGAGAGAATACTGAATGAGGCAATATGTGAATAAATTTGTGGCATTAAAATCAATTCTGAGACATGTCACATAGGGTCTCGAACCACTGGATTCTGTTTTCACGCGTACCTCAACCAAGAGATTTGAGTTTCTTTAAGCACTCCAGGTCAACAGTTGAAGAATTCAGAGTGGGATTCTATGTTTTAGCCTAGCCACCTCTGATCTTTTTCCACTCTGAACAAACTTCAGCTAATGTTGTGCGACGAGACATACGGTGACTAGATATGCTTAACTCACGTGAGGCCTTCTCGTATCTTCTACCTATAATGTCTGTGTTTCATAACCATATAATGGAACACAGTGAGTTGCTACACAGTATACTTGACCTATAATGGACAATCATATGTCTCGGCCGCAGTTGGTGAAAGTCAAAATAGCCTTCTGTAATCATATTGAGATTTCGGCTTTATCTAACACACCAGGACTGATGTGACTTCCCTAGTAGTTGAAGTGGTCGGAAATCCCAATCATCTGACTTCCTACGGCTAAGCAAGGGATTGGTGAAGACCAGTTGTTGTAGAAACAACCAGAATTTATGTGGTGAGAAGCATGTTATGAACATTCTCAAACTGCCACTCAAGTGGTCGACGCTTTCCACCACTTCACTCCCTATCATTTAACTGAGAATACTTCCAGCAGACCAGTTCTAGAGCATTATTTTACATTCGACAGGTGCCAGCAAAACGAAAGCCAAACATACTCAGATTTCTGCTGACCATGTCCAGAAGATCCTATATTTTGTCAGTGTCTTCACTTGGTAGGACAGTATCATCTTCATACTCCAACCCACGTCCCCAAGGTTGTGTCCACTAGTACATCTATGACGAAGTTGAATACGAGCGGTGACAGTGGACATCCCTGGTGGACACCACTAGTTGTCGTCAGTTGACATAACAGCCCTCCATAGGCCCTTATACGCCTAAATGAGTTCGAGTAGAAAACTTTGATTAGAGTTATTTACTTTCTGGGTACTTCCTTCGCAGTCAGACACTGTAACAACACCTCACGAGAGACAGAGTGGAATTCCGCCTCCAAGTCAAGAAGTATGACAAGTGTCGGCTGCCGGTAAGTATGTCTGTGTTCCATGACGAGCTGAAGCGTGAAAATATGATCGATGCACCCTTCTCCAGCTCCATCTGAGACCTATCTCATGTTCTCGAGTTTCCTGTGCTCGAGCTCCAGTTGGGTGTCGGATAACTATGAAGGGTAGGATCTTCGACACAATATTAACCAAACCGATTCCCCAACGGTTGTCACAGGAAGACTTCTCTCCTTTCTTATAGATCAGTGAACTAGACTAGTGTAACGGGACTACCTCTGATTTCCAAACATATTACCAAGTACCTCCGTCACTTTAATTAGCAACTTTTTACCTCGATCCTTGAAAAATCCGGACAGAAAACCATCAGATCCTACTAATTTGCATGGTTTCAGCTTTGATACAGCCTTTTCAACTTGAAAAGGAGTTGGAGGACCTATATCTACGTCCCATTCAACTTCAGGCTAGATGTTGAGCAACTGAAGCGTTGCTGTGGGCCAGTTGAGTTGTGTTTCAAAATGTTCTGCTCAACGTTCTACCTGCCTGTTAGCGTCCCATTCATTTCCGTGATGATTTCACTCACCATCATCTCCCCTTGCCAGTATCCATTATAAGCCTAAATATTTGCGATGTGTTAGCCGCCACTTCTGCCTTCTCTATTTCGCTTGCTCTTGTCACTTACCAATGTTCGCGATCATTGCGGACTCTTAGTCAACTTACGTCTAAGTTGCTTTCAGTCTTCATCGTGGTCGGGGCTAGCTGAAATCAGTCTTCTTGCACCCGTTGTTTCAGGTGAAGTCAAGGAAATCCACTGACGCTTGCTTACTTTCAGGTGTAGGTTACCAACTGTCCTTACCTCTGTTTCTACGTCTGAATTATTAGCACATAAGGTTTCCTCAAGATGAGCATTGCTGTCACGCTCAGATAAATGTTTAGCTAACTCCTCCCCAAATACGTATTTAACGTCCTTATATTCTAATCGACCATAGTCAGGCTTCACTATCGCCTGTTTCCTGTGATCAGCAAGGTGTAGACATACCCGAACCAGTGCCAACGTCTGATCCAAACTGGTACTCCGGGAAGAGCAGCAATCCTCCCCAGATCTTCTCCAACGACGGCTTATAGCAATATGATCTGTCTGTGTCTATGGTAAGTATGAAGTCGGTGGACCCCATGTGAGACAGTGTCCCTGTGTGTGCTCAGCATTATTGCTGGACAGAAACAAGTAGTTGTAGGGACAAAATTACAACAAATGATCACAGTTGTCAGCCGGTGGGCATAGGATTCCATAAATACACCCAAAGTGCGTTCATGATCGGTTCAGCTTACCTACATGAGTATTAAAGTTACCTGCCATCGTGACTACGTCTTGACGTTTTTCTTTCTGCAGCAGGATTAACAGTTTTTCGTAGAATTCATCTTTTGTGTCATCTGAACTACAGTCGGCGGGTGCGTAGGCGGAGATTATGAATTGGCATCGCCTAGTTTTAGTTCTTACAGATTAATTCAGTAAAACAGCACGTAGACGGCTGTTTACTGGTATCCAGTCGAGAAGCACACTTTCTGCTCTACAGCTCAACGCTACACCTACACCAGACAGTCCACGAGAGTTTCCCAATGTCTTTCTGGAAACTCGTAAGGTGAATTCTGAAGACTCACTACTATGGCCAGGTGAGGCCAGTTCAACAGCCACGTTCGTTTTCTGTATACGTGCTTCAGAGATAAAGCATACATCTATGAAAAGAAATTACAAAGTTTTGGCGAGTGATGCTTGTTGTCCGATTTGGCATAGGGTTCGGACGTTTAGAACTCTTACGTGAAGTCGGTGGAGGGGTCATAGGAAACTGGAAACGAGGTTCTGATGGTTCTAATTATTGACAATTGTCGCAGAACGAGAGGTTGGGCAAGGGGTAAGAGGCTTATTATTAGTACCAAGAGGTGAAGGCAAAGGAAGAGACATAGTTGAGGAGGATAGGCTGTGGTTGATTGGGTCTTGTGTACCAATGGAGGCGTGCAGGTGGTTGACACTTCCCGGCTACCTACATCGTGAAACGCTATTTTCTTCTTAAGGTACCTGAAAGAGAAAAAGATTTGTGTAATCACAGAGCCCATTGGACATCTGCTTGAAGCCTGTGACACTTTGTGGGATTTGGTTTGAGGTACAGAAAACCCATACCCCCGGCACCGGAAGACCGTGGGGCAGGGAGGATTGTGGTATTTTTCTGGCTGACCTTTTCTAACCCCTCTTTCTTTTGAGAAGGCACTACTGGTCAACTAAGTGAAACATCTCACTAGTGTTATTCCCCACCCAGCCGGCAGTACTACTTCTTCCTCGGACCCCCACCATACTGTGGTAGTTTACACTTTAACGGTAGTAGCTTTTCGTCTTTCCACTATCCAGCAGACCTTTCGGCATGGTAGAACCCCGAGGGAACAATCATTTCACTAACACAGACCGCTGCGTCATTCTGACTTGTCGTCTCTAACGTGGACAAATAGTATGACTAATCTCGGCTTTAGTCTCACTAACCATTGACCTTTTCACCACTGTTTACTTGGTACTAACCCATTATCTTTTTATTGTTATCTATGGCCACTGCCTTCTCCATCTCTTTAGCTTACGCTACCCACTACTGATTCCGGTTATTGCACAGACTCTTCGGCAATCTACATTTTAGTTACTTTTACCCCTCGTTGTTCTCAGAGTCTCCAAGAAGATATTCATGTGCATCCGTTACTTCAGAAGGAACTGTTGAGATCCACTTTCGCCTTTTAATAATAATAATAATATTGGTGCGGGGCCACAGAGTTCAAGAGGCATATGGTTGAAGCCGACTACATGTTGCCTTTTTATAAGTTCGAGGTTTTAGTTTGTAAGTTTCTGTTCGAACCATGAGCGGAACCGGGACCGGTATGTTGTGCAAAATTTTTCTAAACCCATCTTGACATAGTAAAAAACAGCCATTTAAACTATAACGGTAACTGTTTTATTGTCTTACCACTATCCAACAAACATTTGTGGTCTAATGGGACGACGAGGGAACAAGCATTACATCAGTATATATCGTTTTGTCATTATTATATGCAAATCCGACCACTCCATCAAGGTAGCAGCTATCGATTGGTCTTGTATTCCGCCACAACACTACAGAAGTCTGATTTGCAGGATATATTAAGAACACTATGAAACGTTGCTGTATAAACATTAAAAAAGACAATTATTTGTTGTTGGTGAATAAAGTGCGGGAAGAGATAAGAAGTAAATATTTTTACAATAAACAGATGTTCGCCTTTTAGACGAAGTTGAGAATTGCATATACTTATGTCAGTGATATCAGTTTCCAGTCATATCTTCTTACGCTTCGAATGACTGGCTTACACTAACCAGGTAGTAAGCTGGCATTTTTTAAAGATGACTCAGATCAGTAGTGAGTTACTTCATAGATAGTTGGCATGATCTAGACTGATCATTTTGATGATCGCTATATTCTTCTAATCCAAGCATAAAAATCGAATGAGGCATTCCTGAACCGCTTAGAATGTGTGAATACTTCTTACTTCCAAATTGCATAACGTAGATGAGGTGATTTATTCCTAAACTGCCTGAAAGCGAGACTGGAGTGAGCGGTTTTTCTAGTAACTAAATAAATACAACCTAATTTATTCAGACTGAGAAGTAATTTAGTCGGGCTTTCTTCTGGGTCTAAAAACGACATTCAGGAGAAATGGAACGTAACAACAGGGCATATTTCACTGGGTGAATTGAATTGCTTTGACCTTGTCCTAATTACTCTTCAAAAAAGAAGACTAATATTGCTAGAACTGCTGATGACACCAGCGAAACACCTGCCTTGATCATATTTCACTTAGTTCAGTAGTGGAAAATTGTCTTTAGATTTTTGGTAAGATGTAAGTTTACCTGCCATATCATCGGTTTTTTGTTAATATTTTGATCATCTTTGCTGTTATAATAACACAATTGGATCAATAAAATTTTAAGACAGCATGATTAGGAAGAGTTGTTAGAGTGGATTGTTGTCTGTCACACGGTAATACATGTTCATCAGGAACAAGTCAGCAGACGTAGAAAATAGCTCAGGACAAACAATGTACAGATACAACACTAACCACTACTTAATACTAATGGTAGGTAGTGGCTAATAGTGGAGTCCAGGATGCAAGTTTCGTTCAATGTCGAACTCGTCAGCTGAATGCCCCTACCTCCCATCGGGCTATGTTGTTCCCACCAAGACTCGAGAGCGAACAACTCGGTCCAATCAACAGCGAGATAATGTAAGTAACGACATAATTAACCACCATTATAATTATAAATGTGCAACATAAAAAACTGTTTCTAATCCGTCTAAATAACCTGTTCTCCCTTTATATTACGTAATATTATTGTGTAAAAAGTCATTTGTGTTTACAATGAAACACATGAACTTGCATACAGTTATACTCAAAACCACGGTCAGCAAATGATGTGATTATGAGTTGTCATGACAAACCTTTTTATTGTTCAATACAAAATTATTTTATTTCTTCGGAGTGTTCCTAGTATTATGTTTGTTATACAATAATTATGTTGAGTCTTGGTTAAGGGATATCAGTTTCCTCTGTCCTCATTTGTATTGAGAACTTGTTTACTTCCACTCTAGTTAGTCTGAAATATGAGTAGGTAGCTTTATTAACATTACTCTTTAAAAGATCCTACAGACAACTTGAACTGTGCAGATAAAGTAGTTCTGTCAAGTAGAAATTCAGAAAGAAATTAGAATATTCCGAGCGAGTTGAAGACTTTCAAATATTCGACAGGAGTGTTACATCCCTCAAAGAAAAAAAATCAGCTGAATTATAAGAAGTCAGTTAGTTTTGTCCGCAGTTACATTTGTGTACATAGTTGCTTCAACAAAGAGGCTTTCCTTGGCAAATTCATTCACTTAGCTGTACAATCGCATTTACATAAAATTATTTTCGGTGAGAATTTACAGTTTGTTTAATGTGTGAAAGGGGTTTCTTAGGTGTGGTAGTAAGGCGACATATGAAATGGAAATATAATTCACATCCTAAAATAATCAAAATGTATATAAATATTGAAAAGTAATCAAAAGGTATAGTAACAAGCAAAGTTAATTCCATTTTTATTGATTTATTAAATCTATTACACAATGTAACAGTATTGTTTACTAGATTACGTTTCAGACATAATTTATTGTCCATAGTCATATCAAGATAACTACACAACTTTGAGATATCCTTTATATAGTCCCAATTTCCTCGTCTCTTCGTGAGGTGGGTAGTAAGATTTTCCATGTATCCGGAACAGGCGCTGAGTCATTCTTGTTGCATGTATTAGGTGTTGATTCGATAAACAAAGATTCAGTTATCAATCTCACCCTTCACCCTGTTATCTCAGTTTTAAGAATTTTCACCCTGTGACATGCTATTGTGTGTTTGTGTGTGATCACATGCATAGTTATAGCTCAGCCTTTTTCTAAATTCCTTACCTTACTAGGATCTGCGGTTTTTGACCTAGCTAAGCTTTTGTGTTCCGATAGACTAATTGATCCTGGTCGACTACTTTAACCTATGTATTTGACCTCACAATCGTTGCAAGGGGTTTGGTAAACTAAGTTATTCTGCCTAATTCGGTCAATAGGATCTTTTAACCTACAAAGCTTATTTCGAAGTGAGTTTTTAGGTTTAAATGCCACCCTAATCCCAGCCTTATTGAGAATTCTACGTAGTGTTTCTGAGGTGCCTTCTTTGTATGGTAGTACTGTGGAGGTTTTGAATTCTCTATTCACAGTATTCCCGCTACTATTATTAACATTATTATCAACACTATTAGTACTATTATTGTTGCTGTTGCAGTTGCATTCATAGGTATGGCTGAACACTTTCATAAATTCTTCATCTTAGTAGGATCTACCAACTTTGATCTAACTAGATTTCTGTGCTCACATAACCTATTGACCCTGGTCGACTACTATGACCCACTTATTTGACCTCGCATTCGTTGCAAGTGATTTGGTAAGTTAAATTATTCTATCTAAATGGATCAACAGGAAGTTTTAATCTATTTTAAAGTGTGTGTGTGTGTGTTGGTTTAAACCTACTAAGACACTAAAGGATGGGAGGGAAAGAAAATCCTAAAATCTAACCTATTGTGGTGTAGGGAGAAATTGATAACCCATTCTCTGTTGATCCAAGCAACACCTAATAAATGCAGCAAAAATCACACAACACCTGTTCTTGATATATGGGAAATCCTACTATCAATATCACAAAGGAGGCAAGGTAAGGAAATTTCAAAGTTGTGTAGTTATCTTGATATGACTATGGACAATAAATTATGTCCGAAACGTAATCCAGTAAATAATACTATTACATTATGTGATAAATTTAATAAATCAATAAAAATGGAATTACATTCTACCATAGTGCACAAATTTTACTCTTGTATTAAAACAACGTTAAATTGTCATTACATAAAATGGAGTGACTTTAATGGTGAACTTAGCAACGATCGAAATTACCAGTTAGTTCTCTTCATTTCGTCCGGATAGGTAAATTTTCATAAAATGCAGAGGTCTAAATGTTAATTCCAGTTGTTGGATTAGGGTGGTCTTTAAATTCACTGAGATTTGTTGTTACTTTTCCCCTGTATTTGTTGATTAGGTAGTGGATTTTGACATCCATCCCTGTTCCCATATATGTGTATTGATGTTTAGATGTGACAGATGTATTTAGTGTTGATTTTACTGCAGAAATATATTAAACGACTTATGCTGGACACTGATAGCGTTCGGTTGACTTTAGAGGCTACCCTAACAATTTCTGAGATAACCAATTACGGTTCTCTATTTTATGAAAAATTGGTACCCCAACCGAAACATCAATAACTGGTTTTTTATTTCAGCAGTTGTTGGGGTGGACTTTAGAGTCATTCCATAAAATGCAGGGTTGCCAATTTAGGTTATTATGATTCAAGAATGTTTTAGAAATTAAGTAAAGATGATGAGGTTTGAATAAAGAGTTGAGTGATATGATAGGATATAAATCAATGGGTTTTAATCAGGGTGGATATAGAAACAAGGAGTAGTTGATTGTATGAACAGAAAGAAAGAATTAAGAGGAAGGTAGAGGGGGATGTTAAGAAACGCTGAAGATTAAGACCATGAAAGAAGCAAGGGTTGAACAAGTCTTTTTTGCATACAAAGCTCCAGCTTTTCTATCTGAATCATATCTTAGAAACAGGTCACAAAGTTAGTGTTCAAACGGCTTTCAAAGTTTTATATAGAAACAGTCAGGGACGTAAACTGAGATTTGCGGAAGCCATAGCCATACACAAATCCAAACCACCTTTATGTGTACGAAAACAATTTGTTCTTTCACCACACCTACCTTGGTAAACTTTGTTTTCTTACTAAGATTAGAATAAACTATGTCACTTCCTTTAGTGTTATTGCTTGTATTATTATATTTATGTCACTTCTTATTTGTTCTCATCTTTCTTAATTTTAATCCTCTAATGTGTTAATGATGATTGTGTTTGTACTTCGTATGCAAGCGAACAAGTAGAAAAAGAGAGTATTACACGGTGATGGATAGGCTGAAATTGCTTTATCCCTCAGAAGTGAAGAGGGAGAAGACCAACAAAAGAAAAATCATTATAGCTATACAGAACTGAAAGGAACAAATTAGCATTCCACAATAATATGTACAATATCTCTGATAACCGGATTTTTATATATTCATTAGGACAGTTATCAATCCATGGAAAATGGTAAAAACCGCTGAGTGAAATAGTCACTACATTCCGCCATTAAATTCATTGAATACATGAAGCTCTTTTAGTCAATTTAAACATCAACTAGCCATTATCAAAAATTCAATTCACTTTACACATCAAATCTAAAGATATCAGCTCATCTTTTGAGGTTAAAGAATATGCTTTTTACGGAAAGCAAGACATTAAAAATTCAAATGAGATACACTTGTATGAAGTAGATGAAGTTTCATAGACTCTGAAAGAAAAGATTATATCCGAATGCGGATGATGACGTATTCGTGTGAGAAGTTATTTAGATCGAAACGGTCACTAAAAGAAGAGGATAACACTGCTTACAGTTGCCGGAGATGAAGGTTGGTAAGCTTCCGGTAGTATGCAAACATTTTTAGCGTAAAATTCCCAAATAACCAAAGGAGTACGAATCTGATGACTGTCTGTCAGATTCTTACAACAGAATTCACGTTAAAAGTTAATAATACGCATTGATATGAAAGATAACGGACTTACTCGTTCATGAACTCATCGTTTTTCAGATAGTCTAAGGTGAAGAAGACAACCACTTTACCTAAAACATTTATCGTTCCAAGCTGCTGAAAAAAAAACAGTTTTCAGTTTAGCAAATGCTAGTCTCGCATGTGCTCAAATAGTAAAAGCTTGGTTCTTCGAGTATTTCCATTAGGGTCGCCGTCTATAAGCCAATGAAAGCCTAGTAATTGAGCTACTCAACTGAAAGTATATGAAATCATTAAATGCATTAACCACTAGATCAATATAGACGAAACTCCAAGCTTTTGTAGATAAACGAAAACCAAGATGAATGTTTACAAACCTTTTATCTAACATCGTTCCAACATGAAGTTCGATACTAAGCGAGTTTCACTTCAAAAGCAGACGCACACAATCTTGTTAAGCAACTGACTTACCAATGCATAAAATAATGACGATTGGTCAGTGTGAGTAAAAACACTGTTCAGTTTACACAGTATAAAACCATGTATCACCATTAAAAGAAATACACGCTTAAATTGATCCATGATCGATTGATCAACTCTGTGTACACAAACAACAATAAAAAGAATGATATTGACATTAACAAGAGTCATGTGATAGTAAAGGCACAGCGATCTTGAAACCTTACGATGTTAGAATAATCATACGATATCGCCTAGAAATTCATGACACTGAACAAAAAGAATACGAGAACTACCACAAGTACTTTGAAATGAAACATAATTATTCCTCCAGTGATCTATATCATTGTTGTCAAAATGTTATCTAGCTGGCTCAGTAACAAATGTTCCAGTTCACATCCAGTTTTGGTTATTATTTTAAAGATTAGTAATTGATAGCAAAGCTGAAGTTAACAATGATGACCACCAGATTTCAGAGTATTGTTCACTATAGTATACGTTTTATGAATTGAAGTTACTAAAGATCCCGGTTTGAAGAGAAACTGGGAATTTCTGTGTAAAGCTGAAAGAACTAACAGTATTCATTCAAATAAAAGAATATGATCTATTGTTATTCGATTAATGTAATTCCACACAACTATTCAATAGGCGAAAAAGGTAGAAACAGAAGTGATGAAATTATTGATGGGTAGTGGAATCCACGATGTGCGTTTCGTCTTACTTGGGACTCGTCAGCCAAACATACTCGCACCCCAGTGAGCGATGTTATTCCCACTAAGACTCGAACCCAGGACCGACTGCATCAAACGCCATAGCGTTATCCACTAGGCCACCGAGTGACGACAACCACTTCTTCTGCAACGGGTAAAAGTAAAGAAGTGATGAAAGTTGGTTACTTCTTACGCTGCAAAGACCCAATGAGTACTGGATAACCCTCAGTAGAATATAAACTTGAACAACTCCAACATGCAGTTTAGTATTGACTAACTAGTGAAAAGGTTTTGAGTTTACCCACAAGCTAACCAGGATGTTGAGGAATACACTATATCATTTGGAAGCCGTACAGCGAGCGAGAGAAGAAAGTGAATAAGGCAAACAGAAAGCATAACAAGTACTCGATTAATAAATGGGAGACGAGTTTAATAATGGCGGCAACCTACTTAAATCTTAGGCTACCAAAAAACTTTCCACCGATTACATTCTATCAAATTCTTGCCTTTCAGTTTGCTTTAATCTTTTAAGTGTCTTCTGAACGCATCATGTACTCTGGCACGTCTTTAAAGTGTTTTCGAACTTTCGTTTCTCAAGCTAAGAATAAAGCAAAGGAAAAACTTTCCGCCGGTTGGAAATGTCCGAAAATACACCATAATAACATTCGTAGGATACCTGCATGGGATTGTGAATTCCTAAGCTGGCTGACTGAACTGCCACTATCGAAACTACACTCGATTTTGGGTTGATTTCCTAATCGAGACCAGATGCTTATTTCACATTAGATGTCTGTTTCACACTTATGCCTTCAATTACTGTTCTTATTAACACTATGCAGACATAATAATTATTTCTTTTAAAAATATTGTACGGGAGTCGAATTTGTTGAAATATTCCATGCTGTATCACACATGTTTGGAATAAAGGAGATTATTATTATGATAAGCCTGAAGTGTTGAAGGTTCCCATATACACAAAAGACGGACCCATCTATATCCCTAAGATCAACGTTTTTCTAACTAGAATACATCTCTCAATCTACTATTCGTAAATCACTACACTACGTGCCGGACTGAATAAATACAGAAGACACAAACAATATTGTAATATATGTCAAGCGAGTGAAATGAAGCTAACGAAGGTTATCACTGATTATTTACGAAACACAAGAAATTCATAAACAAACTAACTCAATGTGATAGTACAGCAGTTAGCATTACTGAATAAGGGTACAGATAGCAACATCTCACATCAAGACGACGCGAAAGTCAACAAAAAGAAAGATAAAACTATAGTATTCATAATAAAAAGTTAAGTGAATTTAAAGGGAATATTGAAATGTGATTTGAGTGAAGCAAGTGTGAGTGCCCACTGATGCAGAGTATGTGTCAGCATGTATAACATTTGTGCCAACCACCCTAGGTTTTGACACTTCTGAACTCCAGCAAGGTATGAGAGAACATAGAACATGAAATCGAAAGGATTTCCCTCTTGTTCATTGAAAACTTGGGCAACTACTGACTGAGGCGATTTACATAGCATTATGTCGAACTGCTAGGATATGCTTTTTGACACCAATAATCCTGAACCAACTCCCTTGAGTACATCTGATGCTAGCCCATTAAAACTGGCTGCTCTGTCTACTCACAGCTTACCTACTCTCTTCATAGTTCTTGCAAGATTTGAGGACCCAACGTCACTGTCTTACTTACGTTAACATAGACGTAATTAAAATGTTTTTCTGTGTTCCGCCTACAATTCCAGTCAGCCTTTCAATGAATGGGTCGCCAATCCATCCTATTAGCATGTAGTCTCACTACTAGTATTTTCGCGGTAGTCTTTCGACTAGGTTTCAGTGATTGCTATATCTTCGGCTACCACTAAGCATACTCATCACGATCATTACATACTCACTTTCGTTTTACATTTAGGTAGCTCCCCATCTAATTTTGCTCCGACTTTATTGAAGTGCGTTCCTACCTACCCATAAATTCAGATAAATTGACAGAGATATGCTCTATCTTTCTCTAATGAGTGAAAAAATATACTTCAAAAAGTGGTATTATATATATAATTAGAGATTAACAAAAACAAACAACAGAAAAAAATAGTAAGAAGTGACATTTTAAAAATACATAAAAGAAACACCAATAGATATAAATCAGAATTGCACAAGACACACCGAATAAAGTGAAGTTGCTAGTGAGCAATAATTCCAAGAAATACAAAATAATTCAGTTCAGAAAAGGGGCTTTTATATATATATATATATATATATATATATAATGCTTTTATATACATACATTTGATCAAATAAAAAATAGAAATTTCAACACAGAAGTGTAAATAAGAAAACTGAAGGTAATACAAAAGTGTGGAGGAAATACTCACACACACACATACTGAAAAGTCAAATAAACGGTGTAGGTGACGTTTTTTTTTACCTTCAACTTTCTAAAAATGAAAAGTATCATTTGAAGCGATTAATCAAGTTCTTTTACTGATTTATCCATCCTATCCTGTTTGACTATTCTCCTTTCTTAGTTGATGAAGACTTTCGTAACAGAAAGTGATGGCAATAGTCACAAATTAAGAAGAGATGAATTTGATGAACACCGAAACGCCAAACGTTAATTTTCATTGGCTACTTTGTGCATTCACATAAAAAAATGAGAGATCATGAATAGAGTCATCAAGTAACAATAACACGTTGACCTTCAGATGTATAAATTCCTTTCACACATACACGATGAGCATCACATTGAAAAGATTAAACTAAGTGAGCAGAATGGATGAAAAATCTAAGTGCATACGATGGTAATAACAATGATAACAAGCAGGTGGCAAGTTGGTTAGAAGGACGATTATATATTTGAATATAAAAATATGAAAAACATTTACAGGTAGAAAATGAAGAAGTAAAGAAAACAGTGACACGAAGTCAGTTTTTATTTCTAACATCATTTGTTCTTTATGCACTGCTGATAGAACGTAGTCTGTGTGGAAATGAAGCACGTATATGCGACCAAATCTGATAACGTCGGTTTATGAACTTACATATTTCGAAGGATTGTGGCATGAAGCATCTACGTAAATTGGAATGATTTATTTTCAGATTGTCACCAATGTCATCACTTTGTGCATGATTGGTACTAACAGACGGGGAGATATTTGACTCTAGTCGAAGACGATTGTGTAATTGTTTAGTTGCTGCAGAAAAACTTGACCATACACCTTAAAAATAAGATTGTGTGAATAAAGGAAATAAACAAGAGATGATGAACTAAAATTTGCGCCGCGGTTTTAATTAAAAGTCGATATTAGTCGACATAACCATTTCAGAATAAGATATAGCTGTCAGCTGTTTAATACCACTCAATCAAACCTCAGTAGCAAAGTGCTGAAGATACCCAATCAACAACAACAAGCACCAATCACCATCAACGGGAGGAATCTAAGGGAAGTTGTCTCTCTCACCTACCTACCTAGGTAGCATCGTCTCAACTACAGGCGGCGGCACAGATGAGGACGTCAAAGCCAGGATCGGAAAAGCATGACAGGTCTTCATTAATCTGAAATCAATGTAAAGATCTACTGCACTCAGCAGAAAGCGTGAACAAGATCCCGATTCTCAACATTAATTCAGTCAAGTAAGTCAGTGTTTCTATGTGATGGTTCAGAGACTTGGCGCGTCACGAAAAACATTTCCAACAAACTACAGACATTCATCAACAGCTGCCACCTACGCTCACTCGATAATCAAGATCATATGGTCAGAAAGAATAAGCAATAAGGAACTCTGGCTAGCTGGCAACGAGGCGAGAACACCGCCCAACAAATATGCAGAAGAAAGTGGAGATGGATTGGATTGGGTATACACTGAGGAAACCATTCGGGGACATCACGCGACAGGCACTTTAGTGGAACCCAGATCGGAAACGACAAGGTGAGAGTCCCAGCTGAGGGTGACGAGGAGATCATGTGAGGAAGAAATGAAAGCTTGTGGGAAGTTGTGGAGCCAGGTTGAAAAGACTGTAGAGAAAAGAGTGAAGTAACGATGTGCTACTGAAGCCCAATGTTCTACTAGGAACCCAAGGGACAAATAATAAACCTCAGTGGTACAGAGTTATGACCTTCCAGTGGATCGATTCAAAAAATATAAAGTTCTATTATCTGAATATTACTCCCACAGTCAGTAAGTTTACTTTTACTGACTGACATTTTCAAGCATCAACACCAGTGGCCGAGAATCATGAGTGTAATCGAAATAACGATAACTGAAATTACCAGTTGAACTTTTGAATACATCTAATTATCCATAGAACAACTGTAAATGCCATAACAAATCAGTTTGATTGAATTGGAAAGGGTAGTAGTCATGAATGAAGAAATTTAATTTGGAGGTTTGTGGGGATTTATTTAATGATTTCGGGTTGATATTTATCATGGACTGACATCAGTTGGAGAAACTTTGGAAACCCAGAGGGACTAGACAACTGTTTCATCCTAGTATGGAATTCCTCCGCAGTGGGTACCAATGACGCCACCAAGGGTCGAATCCAGGTTCCACAGCCAGCATATAACTATTGAGTCCAAATCCAATGATCCATATTTTCCTACTTCTGTCAGTTCACGATATAGCACGAACTCCATCCAATGCCATCGTTGAGTAACTATCATCATGTTCGACTTGGTCGGCCCCACCGGTTTCGAATTCTCATTGGAACTTAGAGAATCACCTCTAAAAGTTAGTCACTAATGTGCACTGTATTAGTTCAATTTGGAGGTTTGTAGGGATTTATTCATTAGTTTCAGGTTTGTACTTCAATGTCCATGATGAATACCAACGTGGAATTAAGAAATGTTTATTATATTGAAAAATGAATCAAAATTTTCCAACGTATTTCAAAAGTATGTTGATATAAGTAGATATCTATTAACTGTCCGTTTAAAGTGATATGAGCTTATAAAAAGGGGAAGTAAATAAGCACCAGTCTTCAATTATGCTAACATGGCAACCATTATACATGGATATGTTTTAAGTGATAATGCTTGTTAATAGGATCAAAGCACATACTGTTCACTGGCTTATACTGTGATAAGGATGTTTGAATTAAAATTACTATGGGATATTGAGTGTTAGAAGTCTACTAGTCCATGTTTATACAGATATTTGTTAGGTGTCTGGATAATAACTTGAAGAACTAAATAGTATATAAATCCATCAAAAAGCATTCTTTTATTTTAGACGATTTTTGAGAACCCTGAAGTATATATGGGATCGTACAGAAACAGTACTACACCTCTAACCTGAAAAAATGCAGCATATACCATCAAGTAGGAGAAAGCGGTTACGTTTTATACAGAAATTAGGATTCGCCATTAAAAGAATATTCGTGTGGTGAAGGCATCAGTGACTTTATGGAATGGAAGTGAACTTGATATTCTGATTATTGAGCTCACTCTCCGTGGGTGAATACAATGAGTAGATTTTAACGTACTAATCGACGCTTTTTTTTTTTAACCGGAACGTGTACTAACTTCTAACACTTTCATCTCATTTTGAGCGAAAACTGAATGGTTTTTGGTTGAGGTGCATAGAATTATACCATGACAAAAGAAATGGTGTACAGCTTTCAAGAAATTTGCACGCCTAACCAACGATGTCATTATAGTGGACTGACTCTTCAAGTCACTCAAGCAAATAATAATATAACCAATTTGATTTTATTGTTTCATGGAAAAACTATCTTTCCTAACGAAATTAAGGTAATCAGTCATTTTACTAGTTTTTATGATGGCCCTTAAAGTTACTGTTATAGAAGATATGAGTCGATCGCAGAGAAAGTTATACGAGTAACTGGACAATTAGATATGAATGCAAAGGATAAGTAATTCAATCAACCTCGCTCAGTCTGACAAACAGATGGACAAAACCAACGTAGAACCTTCCAGACAAGTGTATTGCTTCCAGTTGCCACACTTCACAGTAGTACACAAAGAACAGGTAGATAGAAAATGAGTGACATCAAGGCAAAGTTGTGTGAGAGAATAAACAATCTAAAGATATCTGTTAGTGGAGATATCCTATCTTTAGAAGACATAAAAGAGCAAATAAATCTGCGCCATTATGACCAATTTCCAACCAGTTCACTAAGAGTTCTCAACCACTAATTCCTTTTGTCTCGGGGACCTCAGCCAGACAGCCTACATCTTCTCCACACGACCAAGACCAACACACAGAGACTTCATCGGCTGGAGTCATGTCATCCTGAATCCTGTTCCAACCTAATCTAACTTTCCCTAGCATGGCACGACGAGGCAGGCGGTGTCTTGGGATGCACAGTACATGTCCAAGCCATTTTGGTCGACTACGGTCTACAACTTTATCAATCGACTTGCCTATCTCAGTCTACTAACCAAGGAATGTTCAGCCTAAATGAAAACCGTCACGTAGAATAATAGTGAGAAATCTTTATCAACTAAGATAGTGAAGATATATTTTTTGTATCTCTATTGACCAACCAGCTATGGTGACAGTGGTAAAACGGTAGGAGAGAAACAAGAAAACAGTAATAACTATGCAAGATTGCATGAAATGTATTCCCATTACTGACATTTCGGACAGTACTCATTCCACTCACTCACGAGAGAATCTTGTAATAACTAGGTTACTCAGTGTCAACCAATACTTTTCATATCACAGATGAGAATTCGTTTGAAGTTAATAATAACAGTAGGATTTTAACAGAGCGCTGTAAGCCGCTGGTTGAAATACTGTCGAGATTTAAATCCACTATTAATATAAATGATTATCCATAGACATGAACTAATTGACAATCAACTCGCGGTGTTGATTTGACTACTCAGGTATATGCAACTATTGAAGATGTCCAACTTATTCACTTTCCGTAAACAAATCAGAATTCTTTGTTTTACGTACATTATTTTTGATTCCTTATATGTAGGCTTTTCAAGGATATTTTCATTCCAAAATATTTTATTACAGCGAAATCAAAAATACTACTTGTCATGTGCTTGTTTTTCTTTTTACTCTTTAAATTTCATAATAAATCAAAAAAATTTGCAGTTCATGAACAAAAATCAGATGACCAACTGCTTTCCGTTAACACAAGTGAAAAATAATGCAAACATGTTATATATGTAGCGAAATAAATGAAATGATCTGATCCAAAATTAAGTTAAAGCGATACAATTCAGAAATAAATGATGACCAACGATGTGAATTATCTCTGAATGCGTGTTTTCTACTTTCTAATGCAACTAATAGCAAATAAGAACAAACTAGAAGAGAAAACTAAATACTTCCGTGTTTCGCACTCGGACAGATGATGTGTGTGCTTAAAGGTTTTAATACAACAACGATGCAATTGTGAATAATTGATTTTTTGATAATTCTGAGCACAACTTTCGAGAATTAATCATTTTTTCGAACAAGTAGAATTTTAATATTATATTGATCTTGGTGACTGGTAGAGGAACCCAAAAAGCGCGTTTTGTCCTATTCGGGACTCGTCAACTGGATGTACCTGCACTCCACTTCCACTGAGGCTTCAGACCAGTACCCTTCGCTTCAAACGGCAAAGCGTTATCTATTAAGCCACTTGGGGCACGATAGCCAGGTCGAGCAATTCAGCCATGTATAGCAACCGGGAATTATAAGTATCACTACAAGAAATTTTAACACTTTTTTAGAACGTCTTACCCATTTAGTGAGATTAAAATTTTCACTTAATCATCGATTCACAGATAACACGAAAAACATTTGCGAGATACAATTTTAGTGTACTGTTACAAAATGCAGTAGTTAGACATTTAGTGCCGTATGGATTATCACCTTCGTAGCTTTATATAAGTGAAATTAATATTTTTTAGAGAAGAGGTTGTGAAATTGTGTCGATTACTTTGGATCTCATTGGTCAAGTGTTCTCTCTTATCTGGGGTTATAATATTCATCGGTTTCTCCCACTAACTTACAAGTAAGTTGATAAAGATGAGAAAGAATGTAACCGAATAAAAACCTGCATTTTTGAAGACTAAATGAATCTCTGCACCTTAAAGGGTAGAGCAGAATCCGAACCTATAGCTTGCTGGATTGAATTCAAGTGGCTGGACTAATGAGTCATAAACCCATATAGTATATATACATATTCGTCACTGCGCTTACCTGCACCAACACCTGCAGCAATCGCTGCACCTACACAACTAGACTCTTCAACACCACTACGTTCAACAGGAATCCCGATTAAATTTGACAATCGTTGCAACAACCAATTTGAACGTGCGACATTCCCATTAACATAGAGGATAGTTGGCGAGAGACCTGCAAAGAAAAGAGAAATAGGTGAAGGAATCAAATCGATACGTTCATTACTTAAAGCAATTGAGTATCAAAAATCATGACACTATTTGGTGATAGCTTAGGTGATGAACTGCGATGCAAATCTTACTTCATTCCTGACTCATAACACTCAATATATGAATTTTAGACTTCGTGTGATATATATATATATATATATATATATATATATATATATATATATATATATATTGAGGGCTTGTACAATAACTTTTAATACCACATGCTATAGTAGGAAAAAGGAGAAGAATGAAAGGAAGTTTACCGAAAGGTTTATAATATGTATAACACTAGCGTTTATAAGTCTACCAGTGATCGTGAAAATTCAAAACCACTTATTTCGTCGATTTATTTATATACGCATTTACATATATATATTCATGACCATCTGAACATTTTAAACTAAATCTGATCACTTAAATGTATTCGGTGATTCCCAGTTTCTTTGCTCATCTAAAAGGGAGGCATCACGCATCCGGTCAACTGCTAAAACAAGAGAAATCAGTATGAGTCACCACCAGTAGCGCTAACAGTGCTAAAGTCATTCATAGAGTGGAATCGGTCAATCGATATAATGCAAAACTTTCTTCCATGCGCTCATTATTAATGCCAGCAATGTACTCAGTAGGTATTACTGAAGTCTATAGTATGGTATTTCTTCCCATGTAGGACTTCTCAGCAGTAAATAGCTGTAATCTTGTAAACTGATTTCTTCACAGAGAACCTGAATCCAGTTGAGAAATGCCAAGTAATTATTTAGTTTGCTGATGACATAATCAATTTGAGGGAACCTGAATGTTGATAGAATTGTGAGAGAGACTAACATTTCCAAACTGCACACATCACGCAAGGTTACACCTTCCTGATGTATACTTGGGAAAGAAGTTATATTAGTTATAGTAGTGCACGACCCATGCAGCCCAAGCGATATCAGCTTGAGGTCAATCATGATACTTTTCTGGAAGTTTGAAGCGTAAACCTGCTTGTTTGTTTCGAATCTAACTGCAAAATCATATCGCTGGAATTGGAAAACGTTAGGGGCAGTGATGAATTTGCCATTTTCAAGCCAACCTTTTTAAACCCACCTTCCACAGGAAAGACAGCATTACCATGGTACTGCTAGTTATCCATGGGAAACACCTTATTGGTGTCACACTTTTCCAAAATATTGGAACCTCGAGACAACAGGCGTTCCACCAGCATAGGCCACTGTGATGTTCAAACCCAACCATCATATCAGGGATCATAATCAACAGTACTAATGATAAAATTCACACAAATATAAGTTGGTCAATTTGCTTTCCTCAATTATCAATCACAGAAAAAGTTATACAGAGATAAAAGGGATCATATAAAATGGTAAGCTTTCATCTACCTAATTTAAAGAAACACAGTTCTTGTAGTTCTTTGGCCACATCCAGTGCAACGTAGCAGTTTAATTAGCATGATTAAAAATATATCAAAAATAGTTAAGTCCTAGTCAATATTAGAAAGTGAGTGAATAGCTGGTTTGCAATAAATAGTTACCCTCAATATGTTTGAAATTCGGTACTTTAGTCATAAAGTGAGAGAACAGAAAACTAAATATGAAATTCACTCCTAGTTTAAAAAGAAGCTGATTGTTCAATTAGTAGAAAGTTATGAAAGAGTTATTTCATGTTTTTTTCTTCATATTTTCTCCCTATCCCTTGATCGATTTAGGTCATTAGTTTGTTTACCTCTCCTCTCTTTTCCTCTTCAATTTGATCCTCTAACCAAGTGCTTTAGTTCAGGAAAAACTTTCTAGTTTTATTTATCCCTACAAAAATCGATCATATTATTTAAGACATATTCAATGGGAAATAAGTATTCTGCTTTTGTAACAATTTTGAGATAAATTCCACTAATAACGAAATGTCTGTATCGAGATAACGACGCCAAAAATTTTAGCATTTTTATAATGAATAGGTTAGTATAATCTTACTAAATATTGCATACAATACAAATTATCGACTGGAATTAAAACTTATGAAGATATTATGAACTTTACAATTACCCCAATATAAGTTTGGATGTATGGATTGATACAGAATCTAATAAATAGTCAGTTGTCGCCCACACCGGAGGAAACAATAGAAAGAAGTAAAATATGAAAAATTATTCACAAAAGATAACTTGAAAAAGATTAACCGGATGTTGAGTAGATAAGAACAAGAGGTATGAGGCTAAGTTTTGTACTTGTAGGTGGTAGTTAGAAAGTTACATTCACAGCTTCGATCATGAAAGATTCGAACCCATGTCGAGTAGTACCACAGTCTATCAGTGAACAATTTAGATAAATGTAAGGGAATGACGAAAATCTTCTCCGTAGACTGTTAACAATACACAGGAGGGTAGCATGTGTTGAAGAAAACGAACAAAGGAAAAGAGATGTTGCTTCTTGACTGGATCTGTCTTCAAATGCCTGTAAACCGTTCTATTGAATAACGCTATGAAAACTTCAGAGGATCATGATGTGTTTGTATTTTTAAAAATCTCCGTTCACGAACCCAGTGAATACATTTCGGAACTGGAAAACAATTTCCACAAGAAGGTTAAATATACGCATATGGTTGACGTAGTGAGTGACTAAGACAGATAAGTGACGAAAATAAACCAATAGGATAGGTTGTACAGTCGGCATTCCAAACTATTAAATTGACAGCATTGGCTGCTTAATACAAATGTGCTTTAGGAATCAGTATTTCTTATCAACCTCTAGTGAAAATGTGAAACTGCGTAACCTGGTAGTCACTGACGTCAACCCAAAATGAAGACAGATTATTCATGTTTATATTAGTAACCATTAGAGAATATCGGTAGAACGTTGGCGTTGCTTTTGAAGTATGTGCTTAGAATTCGCGTACCACTTCAAACGCACGTGTACTTAAGCTTAAACGAATGCAGAAAGATTGAAACAAGAAAAATTACTTGGCTTGTCTAGAAAATGAACATTTCGATGGTATACTTAAAGATGATCGGTGAGAATAACTGTTTAGACTGATTGAGACATTAGCCACAGAACGTGCATCAGGTAAGATTGATTATAACTGGTGTGTACTTCTGATAAGCCTGGTTTATAACCACAAGGGAGGTAGTTTGGTGAACGTATTTTATACAATAATGGAGCACTCAGTATTCTGATGTTTAACAAAAGTTGGGGGACAAACAATGTGAAACCATGCATTGGGTGATGCAAATTGTCAATGATATTCTGGATTGGTTATGTAAAGCTAGGTCTTTTCAGCATCACTCATGACATAAATGTTATAGACTTTTATTTACCTGTTTGTTTGCGACAATTTTCTAACATAAATCTTGTCGTGAAAGCGATTGACTCAAGCACAACACGTGCGACAAGTCGTTTGTCAATAGACTTTGAAGTATCCAAACCAATTATCATGCCATCTGGTCCGTTAACTGACAGCTTATTTGATTTGAATTGTCGGTTTAAGGATATGCTTTGTTGTTGTTTAAGCGAATCAGTAGGCAGCGGGATATAATATACATTTTCAAGAGTTGCTCTTTCATCTAAACCTTTGAAAATGTTTTAACAAAATATTAACAAAGAGTAAATCGACTTTTTATATGAACATTTGATAAAGAGGTATGCATATTTTTCTCAGGAGAGTAGCAGTTTAGATTATACTTCGTTCTTTATTAAATACTGAGCATAGTCCATTATTTTGGTATTTGTATTTCCTAATCAATGTAAGACAAAATAAATGTATTTCTACTGATGTCTCGCTATCTAATGCCATTAGCTTTAGCAAAGTTAGAGTACACTGGAATTTACAGTATCCAAGCTTATATATGATAACTTGACAAGTCTTCTTCTACATGAATGATTCGGTGTTGTCACAATTGTAGAATTATGATGATATCCATGTGTAGTGTGTTGTGTGTAAAGAGTATGTGAATTACAGATTGAGATTTGTATGTACATAGGTGTTGATAGTTTTTATCGTATGTATGTTGGTTATGTCAATATGTGGAGGTGGGTTGAGACCAGGTGAAATTACGTTTTACTTCCTCATTCTTATTTCAACAATTTTGATTCCACCTAATGTGTAGAGATTCTGCTAAGAGATATTCTTTACAAAACATTCGAAAGACTTTCTGAATAATTTCGATGTTGTCAAAATCGACCTTGTGACCTGAAATTATAACATGTAGAGCTATGCTTGATGTGTTTTCTAGGGGTTGGTTGGAAGCTCTTCGGTATTCATTTGTTCTAACTCTGATTTGACGTGGCTTTCCCTATGTATGGTGCATTGCAATCTAGGAGTTCCATTCTATAAACACAATTAGGTTGTGAATCTGGAGGGTTTTTGTCTTTCAAATGAGCTAAGGTCCTCTGCAATGTGTTTGATATTGTGTAGAACACAGAAATTGTTTGTTGAGCACTCTCCTAATTTCATCGGATGTGTGATGTGTAATGGATAAGTATTATTGAGGTCCATGATTTTGGAGTAGTTCTACGATTTAATTTAATGTTATTCTCTATTTTGTGAATTAATTTTACCGGGAAAATATTCATTTTAAGCATCTTGTTATTATTATTATTATTATTGGTCCCTTGGCTTCCTAATGGAACATAGGGCTTCAGTAGCACGTCTCCAGTTCACTCTGTTCTCTGAAATCTTTTGAAACTGGCTCCACGACAGCCCACAAGCCCTCATTTCCTCCTCGCACGATCTCCTCCATGTCACCCTCACCTCGGACGCCCAATTCGTCGCTTTCCATCGAGGTTCCACTCGAGGGGCTGGCCTGACGCGTGATGTCCCCAGTCGGCTTTATCAGTGTATGCCCAATCCATCTCCACTTCCTCCTGCATATTTGTTGCGTGATACGTTCTTGGTTGGTTCGTTCCCAGAGCTCCTTGTTGCTTATTCTTTCTGGCCATCTGATCTTCAGTAGCGAGTGAGCGTAAGCAGTTGTTGATGAATATCTGTAGTTTATTGGAAATCCCTTTCGTAACTCGACAAGTCTCTGAACCATATAGAAGCACTGACTTGACTGAGGTTGGTGTTGAAAATCCGGATCTTGTTCCGCATGATGAGTGCAGAAGATCTCCACACTGGTTTCAGGCTGATGAACGCCTCTCTTGCTTTTCCGATTCTGACATCGATATACTCGTCTGTGCCACCTGTAGTTGAAACAGTGCTTCCTAGATAGGTGAAGGAGGTTACTTCCTTTAAGTTTCTCCCGTTCATGGTGATTGGAGTTTGTTGTTGTTGTTGTTGGAGTTGTTGGTGCGGTATCTTCATCACTTCTGTCTTCTCTATATTCACCTGAAGTCCCGTCTTCGCTGCCTTGCCATGCCTCTTCTGTTAACTTGTTAGTTTTCGCCTGTAGATGTTCAAGTTTGTGCTACAAGACATTAGACACAAGTCACCGGCGAAATCCAGATCTAGGTTCTTTTCCGCAGTCCAGCCAGCCTATCCCCCTCTTCTCACAGCTCCCCACTGTTTGCTGCATGATCCAGTCCACTACAATCAGGAATATCATGGGGCATAGTAGGCAACCTTGTTTCACTCCTGTCTTACACTTCAAAAGCATCACTGAGCTGAGCATCCCATTGTGAATTACTTGGCATGTTACGTCTTCATACAGTTGTTCAATGAGGCTGATAGAGGTTTGCGGTATTCCGTAGTATTGAAGCAACTGCCAATTTACCTCTCAGTTGACGCTGGCAAAGGTCTTCTCAAGGTCGATGAGGTTGAGATTGAGAGCTGATTGCCATTCTATGCTCTGTTCTATGATGATGCGTAGTGTAGCGTTGCAATTTGGTCCGCACATGATTTGTACTTCCTGAATCCAGCCAGCCTGCCTGTTCCGGTTGTAGTTTTGAATCCAGCGCATCCTTTAGCCTCTCCAGGATGATGTGGTTTAATATTCTGCTTGCTTTGGTTAGACAGGAGAGTGATTCCGCGCCAGTTCTTGCAAACACTGAGGTCTCCCTTCTTCGGCAGTTTGACAAGGTAACCCTTCTTCCAATCAACCAGCAGGTACCTTCTCTTCCTTCCACACCTTCTGCAATAGTGGTGAGAGCATGTCGGCTGTTGTCTCCACGTCTGTTCTCAGTGCTTCTGATGGGATCCCATCTGGTCCTGCTGCTTTCCCGCACTTTTTATGGCGCTCAGGACTTCCACTTTGTTGGAGGATTTATGTTCACTTGTAGTTCACCGGCTGTAGGTGGTATTTCTGCACGGAGTGCAGGTGGTTGTCGATTCAAGAGCTTCTTCAAGTGGTCGACCCTTTGTTTCCTTTCTTTCTCTTCTTTCGTAATTAAATTTCCTTCACTATCTTACATGAGTTTCATCTGCGTTGATCTCTTCCCTGCCAGATAGTAACCTGATTATTTGATACAATGTTGTCAGGTCTCTGTCTCTCCTACCAGCAGTCTGCAGCCTGTTCTGCTTCACTTTCCAGTGTGTTGTAGAAGTGTCTTTTGTCTTTGTGTGCACTCTTCTTCACTTCTTTGTCCAGTGAGTGTTTTATACATTGTGCTCAGTTCCTCTTGTCGTTGAGCATCCATGCACTGGTTTATCTTCTGCTTCACCATCCTCCTCTCCCTGCTCTATCAGCTTCCAGGTATCCGTCGAGATCCATTCCTTGTCTTCTTTCTTCTTCCTTCCTAATACGGCTGTGCAGGTTTCTTTCCACATCTCTTTCAAAGACTTCAAGTGTTCTTCCACACAGGTTTCTTCAGGGATGTTCCTCGATATCTCCCATTTTGTCTTGGTGGTTGATGTGAAGATTTTCTTTGTAGTTTCGTCCTTCAGTTATTGTCCTGGGTGTTGTACTTGGACTGTGGTCTGTAACCAGCTTCCTTGAAAGCTTTTAAATTGATTCGGAAGGCTCCTTGCACTGGATAGTGGTCTGAACCAACATCTGCTCCTCTTCTTGAACCTGTGTAAAGTAGGCTGGCTGCGTCTCCATTTTCTTGAGATTGAGATGAAGTTGATCTGATTTTTAGTGCATCTGGTGTCTGGTGAAATCAACTCTATATCGCTTTATGAATATCCTTGTGTTTGTACACACTGCGTCCAATCACCAGATCGTTGAATGCACAGAATTCTGCAAACAGTTCTCCATTCTCGTTCATCACCTCACCGAGCGCTTCTCGACCCATGGTTGGTTCTCTTCCTGTGTTGTCCCCTCCCAGTTTGGCATTCATGTCACTCCACCCATGAGAATTTTGATATCGCCAACTGACGTCTTGTCCAGTGTTGATTGCAGTTGTCTGTAGAATTCCTCCTTTTTCTCTTGCTCTGCATTATTTGTAGGTGCATAGCATTGTATGATTGTGACCTTTCTTCCTTCCTTTTGAGTTGAACCTTGCTGTCATGATCCTTATGCTGGAGGAGATTAGTTCCCACTAGTGAACTAGTAAACCAGGCGAGGTTTTAAACATCTTGTTAGCATCTTTTAATTCCTTAAATTTTTCATAGCAAAATCTCTTCACATTAAGTGGAATCAAAATTATTGAAATAAGAATGAGGAAGTAAAACGTAATTTCACCTGGTCTCAACCCACCTCCACATATTGACATAACCAACATACATACGATAAAAACTATCAACACCTATGTACATACAAATCTCAATCTGTAATTCACATACTCTTTACACACAACACACTACACATGGATATCATCATAATTCTACAATTGTGACAACACCGAATCATTCATGTAGAAGAAGACTTGTCAAGTTATCATATATAAGCTTGGATACTGTAAATTCCAGTGTACTCTAACTTTGCTAAAGCTAATGGCATTAGATAGCGAGACATCAGTAGAAATACATTTATTTTGTCTTACATTGATTGGGAAATACAGACACAAAAATAATGAATACCATTTAACCCAATGCCCAACTTTTTCCAAACCATCAAATTCCGACTTGGTTTGGATATCTATATACTGAACACAGTGTTCGACAATATTTTTATAGATACAAAGGCGAAGTAGTTACGGAGATAAGTTTTTTAACTGTTCTTTTAATGAACTTATGACGCAGTAGTGAGATTTGACTAAAATTACCTGGATATATGTTTCACTGGTAGGTATTACCCCAGTTGTTTGTTTAGCAAGAATAAAGCTTAGCGGCTATCTTAAATGGTATAACTCAAACGGTAAACTAAACTATGATACAGATCAGCTCTTTTAATGTCATTTTCAAATTGTTAGATATTTGATTTCATGTGCAGGTCTACTTGTCAGACTGTTATTTGACAACAGTTTAAGACTTGTTAAATATATTTCTAACCAAACTAACTACTTCAGTGGTGTACATAACGACATTGCAACTGTTTAAAAATTTAATAGTGTTTCTTACCTACAGCTGATACAAACAAATGTATCTCCCCTACTTGAATTGTTCATCGTCCATTAACCGTAATTATCCTGTATATCAATATCTAGAAACTATAAACTTATGTGACGCCGCGCAGTGTGCAATTTCCAAACTTATCTCTGAGCACTATCCTGTATGGTTATCGAGGGGAGAATGTAAATCAATTAACAGTTAAAATTTTGAACATTTGGTCAACTCTGGACATATAACTCCACTAGAATCCTCCTACAGTGTCATTTATAGAGTCAAATGGAGTAGTTCAAAAGGAGTACGCCTTCGACAGTTGTAAACAGCAGAAGCACTGGCAATTCCCCAATTCAAGCCTGATATCTGCGAGCAAACAAGGTATGTTCAATCTCTAGTCTTACCATGGTCTTAACACTCACAATTTTTGATTTCATTATAATTAGTCTATTATTATAACTTTCATTATGACCCCGTCACCTTTTTTTATATCTATTTACACATCAAGAGGACACTCAATATGAGCATTTCTCATCTACCGAAAATGTTCACCTTGTCAAACTCCTGGCCTTTCTCCTTATTTCTAGTGTCTAAAAGACCATTACGCAACCTCTTCCTATACTTGATTTCGGCTTTTTTAGCACTAGCCTAATGATGCAATAACATATGCTTTAATAATAGACTGCTACAAAAAACTCGCCTGGTTAACTAGTTCACTACTAGCTACTAACCACTCCTAAGCCAGCATAAACAGGGGAAATTGGGCATACGGCTAGCAACCCTAACCCAGAAAACCAATCCAATCGCTAAACAAACTTCAAAGCACAGACAAAATATAAAAAGTATAAACAAACTTATTCCTCACTGGAATCGGGGAGATGAAATGACGCCGGGTGGTGAAAGCCTTCGACAAGCCCACTGACCGATGTGTCTCCTCTTCTCTCCATCAAAGCGAAAGTAAACATGGGGACATGAAATGTCCACATCATGTATCAACCTAGCAAGCCTGACCACATTGCAAACGAGGTAAGAAGGTATAGCATAGAAGTGCTTGGAATCTGCGAGAGCAGATGCAATGGAAGTAGACTCTCCAAACTGTCAACTGGAGACAAGTCAATAATCCACTGCGATATTGTCACCCAGACGACAACCACGAGCACACTGAATTTTAGAGCGGCTATCATGATCTCTCCAATAGCATTAAAGGCTCTCTCTCTCTCTCATGCAGTGGGAACCAATCTCCTCCACAATCAGCTTCATGACACCAAGATCCAACTCAAAACGAGGGAAAGTCACAATCATACAATACCACGCCGTGCACCTACAAATAATCCAGATCAAGAGAAGAAGGAGGAATTCTACAGACAACTGCAATCAGTACTAGACAAAACTCCAGTTGGCGACATCAAAATTCTAATGGGTGGAGTGACATGAATGCCAAACTCGGCGTGGACAACACACAAAGAGAATCAACTATGGATCAACAAGCGCTCGGTGAAATGATGAGTCGGAATGGAGAACTGTTTGCAGATTCCCGCGCACTCAACGATTTGGTAATAGGACGCAGTGTGTACAAACACAAGGATATTCACAAGGCAGCGACATGGATTTGATTTCACCAGACACACTACGCTAAAAATCACATCAACTTCACCTCAATGTGAAGAAAGTGGAGACGCAGCCAGCCTCCTGGATACATGATCAGATCAAGAAGGAGAGCACATGTAGGTTCACACCACTCACTATCTACTGCAAGGAACCTGCCTTCAAAATCAAGTTGAAAGCCTTCAACCATACTGGTGGTAGACCACAGTTCAAGTTCAACACCAACAACAATAACTGAAGAGCGAAATTACAAAGGACGTCTTCACGTCAGTCAGTCATCAGAACAAAATGGGAGACATTGAGCGACATCCGTGAGGAAACCTGTGTAGAAAAACACTGGAACTCTTTGAAAGCTATGTGGAGAGAAACCTGCATAACTGTATTAGGAAGGAAGAAGAAAGAAGACAATGAATAGATCTCGACGGACACATGGAAGCTGATAGGAGAGGGAGAGGAAGATGGTGAAGCAGAAGATGAAGCACTGCAGTGCACGGATGAACAACGAAAAGAGGAACTGAACTCAACCTATAAAACACTACACTGGACAAAGAAGTGAAGAAGACTGCGCACAAAGACAAAAGACACTTCTACAACACACTGGAAAGTGAAGCAGAACAGACTGCAGACTGCTGGTAGGAGAGACAGAGACCTGACAACATTGTATCAAATAATCAGGTTACTATCTGGCAGGGAAGAGATCAACGCAGATGAAACTCATGTAAGATAGTGAAGGAAACTTATTTACCAAAGAGGAGAAACAAAGGAAACAATAGATGGACCACTTCAAAAAACTATGGGATCGATCACCAACTGCACTTCGTCCAGAAATACTACCAGCAGTCCAGTCGCAGAACTATCAGTGAACACAAGCCCTCTGACGAAAGTCAAAGTCCTGAACACCATAAAGCTGCTTTAAAGGCGGGAAAGCAGTAGGATCAGGTGGAATTTAATCCAGAAGCACTGAGAACAGACGCAGAGACAACAACGGACATGCAGGGAAGGAAAGGTACCTGCCCATTGACTGGAAGAATGGCTACCTTGACAAACTCCCAAATAAGGGAGATATAAGTCTTTGTCAGAACTGGAGTGGAATCATGCTCCACACCTGTCCACACCAAGCAAAATATTAAGCCGCATCATCCTCAAGAGACTAAACAGTGCTCTGGGTTCAAAACTACAACCGAAAAGGCCGGCTGGCTGACTGGCTGGCTACAGGAAGTACAAATCATGTGAGGATCAAATTCCAACGCTACGCCACGCCACGCCTCGCATCATCATACAACAGAGAGTAGAATGACAGTCAACTCACCTCCACCTCAACCCATCGACTCTGAAAATGCCTTTGACAGAGTCGACTAAGAAGTATTTTGAAAACTATTTCAAAACTACAGAATACCACAAACCCTTATCAACCTCACTCAACAACTGTGTGCTACATGAACACGCCACATGCCAAGTGGTTCACAATGGGAAGCTCAGTGACACCTTCGAAGTGAAGACAGAAACGAGTGAGCCAAGGCTGACGCCTACTATCACCGATCATCTTCCTGACTGCGGTCAACTGGATCATACAGCAAACAGTGACCAGCGAGAAGAGAGGCAAACACTGACTTGACCAATGAAGAGATCTTAGAAGATTTGAATTTCGCCAATCATGATTTATGTCTAATGACTTGTCGCACAAACTCGAAGATCTACTGGCAAAAAATAATAAGTTGATAGAAGAGGCAGCGAAGACGGGACTCCAAGTGAATGTGGAGAAGACAGAGGTGATGAAGATACTCAACCAACAACAGCATCAACAACAACAAGCACCAATCACCATGAATGGGAGAAACCTAAAGGGAGTAGTCTCTTTCACCTATCTAGGCAAGGCAGCATCGTTTCAACTACAGGTGGCACAGGCACACATGACGATTTCAAAGCCAGCATCGGGAAAGCAAGACAGGTCTTCATTAATCAGAAATCAGTGTGGAGATCTACTCCACTCAGCATAAAGCGTGAACAAGATCTGGATTTCCAACACCAATGTCAAGTCAGTGCTTCTATCTGGTAGTTCAGAAACTTGGCGTGTCACGAAACGCACTTCCAACAAACTACAGACATTCATCACATCAACAGCTGCCGCCTACGCTCGATACTGAAGATGAGATAGCCAGAATGATAAGAACAAGCAACAAGAAACTCTGGGTGGCAACGAACCAATCAACAACTTATCGTCCAACAAATATGCAGAAGAAAGTGGAGATGGGTTGGGCATACAGTGAGAAGACCGTTCGGGGACATCACGCAATAGGCACTCGAGTAGAATCGAAAGGGGGAAACGACGAGTTGGGCGTCTGAGCCGAGACTGACATGGAGGAGAACATGTGAGGAATAAATGAGAGCTTCTGGGCTATCGTGAAGCCAGGTTCAAAAGATTGCAGAGAACAGAGTAGAATGGAGACGTGCTACTGAAGCCCTATGTTCCACTAGGAACATAAGGGTCAAACAATAATAATCATAATCATAATAATAACAATAATAATAATAATAATAGACTGTTATATGTTTGTGATAGACATGAATACGATTTTACAGCTCTAGAAAATGATATCGTCGTAAAGAAAATTTTCTTCGCTGAATTATCTCCTCTTTCCTCTATCAGCTCGAAGCATACTTTAACATTCTCTTATCTATACCGACTAGGTTCAATGACGTTGCTACAGCAGATGAAGTAGTATATTCATTTAACTGCTTCGCTTCATTACTTAGAACAGTCCCGGCTAATCAATTTACACTGAGTGCAATCAAAGCACTATTCTCAAGCTTTCACTAGTTGATTTCAGAAAAATAGGAACAATTTTAGACCCTGAAATAATAAAAATAAACAAACAGGATTCAAGCATATCATGTCACTTAAAAAGCCATCAGTTTGGCAATCTATCTCATGCAAGTCCAGAGTCGAAACATCTATGCTAAAACAGAATATCTAAGAAGAGGGTCAAATAAAAATGAGGAACTAGGTATACCCAATGAAAACGAAACAATAATGTGCTGAGAACAAATAAAACATCTACACCTTATCTTTATAGCTATAAGAAATGGATAACGGAGACTTAACAAATACACTAAAGCAAGACGTTGAGATCTAGAACGTCATATATCTTCACGGTGTTGAAAAGCGAAAGAAGAATATACACTAATATACGAAACGTAATGTATTACGTATCATATAAAAATAGTTGACAACCTGAACCCACTTATATTCTAGAGCAAAAAGTGTCACAGCTGTATGTGAGGACAGTAAACGTATCTACAATAAATTAACCGTGAGTTAACGTTTAAAGACAACAATGATCAAAAATGCAGCTTACCAAGTTGATCGCCTTCATAAAGCATTTCTTCTAACTCAGAATACTTCAGAAATACATCTGAAAAAAAGCAAGTCATGCAATGAGAAGTAAGACTACTTATTTATGCATCGAAAATAAGTTCCAAAGCGGTAGGAATTAGAATGGCGAAAAATGAAGTTAATATGCAGATTGACGATCGGATGGTAACTAACACATTCTTTTACAATGCAGTTACCACACAATACACCAAGCTGTATTTGATGTAAGACAGCTGAAGGGAACCTGAGAGATAGTTATCATTTTTACTTGGAACCGAATAGCTCAACGGTAAAGCTCCTAACCGATACTAGTCTGAACTACTGAGAAACGGTTCATTTCCTCTATGTTATACAACCGAAATGTATTGAAAACAGATTTTGGACTACCAGCTGATTATCACCAACTGTACAAAAATAGACCACCCTTCAATAGTTCCAGTTATTTGAAAAAACTTCCTATCGAAGCAATACTGCAAGAACTACCAGTGTATTGCATATGGATGAATGGACGAAATCAAACGGGAGATTGATGACACAATGGTACAAATCTATGAAGTCATTGTTTGTTGGTTTGACTAGACACTTCAGAATTCCTAGGTGAATTTCAAAAAATAACTAAAAACTCTGATGGTATAAATTTAGGAGATACAAATCGAAATCCTTTGCAGTGTTACAGTTGCTTCCCAAAAATGAAAAAAAAACACTTTATTACCTAACGATTTTCACTCCTAACTTCTCTTCTTCTGTAATCCTCTAACCCTTTTAACAATGTTATCATATCCCTTACTCTTTTTGGTCGTTCACTCTTGTTTAGAAACCCCAATTAAATCGTATCTGACACGCTCCATTCCATTTTCTCTTTCTTGTCAAGTACTTTAGAGTATAACTATATAGTCGTATAAAAAAATGAAAACTAACAACAACACCTACCCACCTTGAGACCGCAACCACTCAACAAGAGTACCAGTGTGTGGGTGAAAACTTTCAATTAAATAAGTCAAGTTATTCATTTGGATAGCTTTTGATGTAGATGGTAGGGATGATAACGACATTGAGGGGGAACTCTTAGTGGAACTTATTTCACAATGAGAAAAATCATCGAGGTATGCATCACCAGATGCCCATCCAATCACAGGATAAAAGCCTAAAAAATAAAGAAGTGAAACACAACACCGTGTGAAGAAGAAAATACCAGAGTAAAATAGTAAAGTATTATACACCGGTTGGTGAAATACAGGTAACACTTTATGCATAACTTCCTCCCAGATAAGTGTAGGTGTAAATAAGGGCAACACCAATACTGATGTAAAATATTTTCCGTATGTAACTCTAGGTTTGAAAAGCAGATAAACTACGATAAAATGCACATTCTCTGTCGCGAATATGTACGAATAGAATACTTTTTAGTGTACATGGGCTATAATGTGGGTTATCTATCTAACAATGGAAAGAAGTGGAATACAAACTTATAACTATTTACCAGTTAACATATCGAATGAATGGAAACCAAAAACATAACCACCAAACCATCTCCTACTTGTAGTGACACAGAAGTTGAATATAGCGAAAGATTTTCTTTATGAAGATAAAAAAAATCCTTCTATACAAACTTTTACGCACACCAAGATCAAAATAAGACGCAACATTATTGTGTAGCAGTTCAAGTTATCACATTTGAAGTTAGTACATGAAGGTAACAGCTGCAGTACTTTAAACTCAGACAGTAATAAGTAAAGTGGAATTTTATTCAAGCTACAAGTAGTATAAGTATGTGAACACCAACCAGTGTCCTTCTACACAAACGGAGATGATGTTGAGTACCAGTCGGCTTGAGAACTCTAACCAAAAGGCTTACAGTTAATTACGAACGCTAAACCAACAGTCATTGAGTTGATGGACCGGTAACATGCTTCCATTTGATTATCCTGAAATTTCTTTCATTCTACTTCAATTAGGAGCAAGTGCTGATGCAGACGGTGAATATATACAGGTAGTGTATATACGAACCACTATACAACCATATAGCGATACAGTGCGTACCAATTAGCAGAGCAATTAACTTTAAATAAGCATTCACACATTACTCTGGCACGACAAGCGTAGTGAGTGAACACAGTCAAACATTTCAAATGCGTGCGTTCAAACACGGATAGATTCATCACATTAAACAAATGAAGCTGAGTGAATTTGTATATTCTTATTGTGTAAGCAAGTTTCAAAACAGAACGTACATTCATAGTCAGATAATGTAGTGTCTCAGTTAGTGAAGTTTCTTTGGCGACATTGTCCACTGACCCGATCGATACCTACTATCTTGACATGATGGTCGGGTTCGCACACCATAATGACTCATGCTCGTGGAACGCCTGTTGCCTCGAGGTTCCAACGTTTCGGAAAACTCAGTTCGATAATGGTGAAATAAAAAGCAATTACCGCCATAGTGTAAATAACTACGTTATGATGGGGTCTGAGGGAGAAGTCGTACTGTTGGCTGGACATGAGTGTGACACCAATGTGTTTCCTATGGATGACTATCAGTATCATGCTAATGATGCCTTCTCTGTGGGAAGGAGGCATCAAAAATATCGCTTCGAAAGATAACAAACTCTTTGTCCTGGAGTCTTCCTATGCCAGAGATATGAGTTGGACTGGAAACAAAAAGGCAAACTTACATCTCACACTTCCAGAAGGGCCTTGTATGCCCGTCCTTACGCAGATGTCACTTGGGCTCTGTGGTTGTGTACTACTATAACTAATACAATTTCTTTCCGAAGTACGCCTTCCATGGTGTAGGCAGTCTGAATGTGTCAACTGCCCCCATAATTCCAACATCCAAGTTTTCTCAAATCACTATCAACCCTCTACATTCGCGCCTTCTAATTTTGTTTCGCCTCTCTCAGTTGATAATTTTAAGCCATCTTTAATTTTTTTGAGGCTCTGCAGCTTTTAATAACGAATCAAGTCTAAGGAACAGCATCCCTGGTGTCCTGAAGCTGCGTCTCAAATTACACATTGGAGCTCTCAATATCCACAATCTTCGTCAACTTGTTCAACAAGCTCTAGCATCTTGGGCCAAGAGCGTAGTGTGTTTGCGAGAAACGCAAGTGCAGCTTTCCACTTGACCCCACTTGGCCAATGAGGTGAATCTGAATGATTAACCCTTCAAACTAATCAACCAAACATTTGAAGGATTTCACTTCACAAAGGAGGAGGAATCCAATGAAAAAATTCCATCCTTAGATGTCCTCATTAACAGAACACACAATGGGGCTTTACAAACTCGATTTTACAGGAAAGCCACACACACAAATCAAATGTTGAACTACAACAGCAATTCATCCTACAATCCATAAGAAGTGTTGTGTATAAGCATTATTCTCAAAAGCCAAAATATACAACAGCACTAAAGCACTACAAAAAGCCGAAGAAAAATCCCTGTATAAAGTGTTCAAAGCAAATGACTGTCCATCCAACTTTATCAAAAAGTATTTATCACCAGGACAGAAGACAGGACAACTGCCTCAAATCAATAGGCACATTACACTACTCTACATCAAAGATATCACAGAAACAGTCAACTGATTTCTTCGTTCTTTCGGAATCAGAGTAGCATAAAAACCAATGAAATCACTACACAGTATGTTGTGCAAACTAAAGGATCCATTGCCAAAAGAAGACAGGACAAATATAATCTACCAAATCAATTGCAAGAGTTGTTCACAGCATTAAGTTGGCCAGCCTAGCCGTCGGATTGTTCAAAGAATTCATGAACACCAACTGGCAATAAAGCAACATGACGCGGCCTCCTTGGTTTCAATGCATACAGACAATCACGATCACAAACTCGACTGGGAGAATGTGAAAATCCTCCAAAGAGCAGGTTCCGAAGCTGCAAGAGAATTTCTAGAACCGTGCTATTCAAACGAAATGTCAATCAACAGACTTGTGGATACAAACCCAATCTACAACCTACTTTGGAAGAAAACAGTCATTTAGGGTAAATTGACCGGACAAAACAATAATGATGCACAGTGTGACAACAAAGACAGCACAATATTATTCCCACAAAGAATATCCAATGACGTAACTGAAGGAAACTTAAGGTCAAAGAGGTCAGAGTGTGTTAATAAAAAATTTCTTTCCCAACTTACGAATGGACAACATCCAAAGTCAATAAAGACACTATCTAAAAATTCGGGTAATATTCGATTATGCTTCACTTCTTTATGAAGTTAGTGCTGAAGACGTCACTAAGCCTGATGATGAAACGTTCACAATAAAATATCAAAGCTCAGAGAACACCAAATCACCATGAGCCACACCCGTTATGTGAGGGAGAGTGGCAGTATTCGGCTGTCTAAACCTGGGTAGGTGGAGTTGCGTTCGAACGCGTGACCTATTGGTCGGAAGCCAAGTGTTTAGATAAATAAAACAGCCCCATAGTCAAACTCACCATTTTCTTCTCATCACCTCTGCTTAAGGACCTAATGATTGCAGCTAGGAATGGGTGAAAGATGTGTTCTGCCAGAAAATGTCTAGTCGCCTACTGAAAGCCAAACATTCAGACGTTGTTAGTGTAACAAGTGATTTCGACGCACATTTGGATAGGGTGTGTCAAGCAGAAAGGCAGTTTGGGAACATCAGTAAAGCAGCAGAATAGTATCAATCAGCTGGTACAACTGTGCTCAGAAAACCAACCATTTCCAGTCAGCACCAACTTTAGACATACAGACACCGTCTGACGTGGTGTCCACCGATCTCAACTCAACGCTGAATACAGTCATCGCTGGGAACATTTAGTAGAAGACTACCATGGTTCCTAGACCACATGGTTCGACAGTAGTCATGGGTTGGTTCGAGCAGGTGTTTGCTTGTTCCTAATGATAATGGGAAAATCATAGCGGCATAACCACTGTAAATGCTGCTTGAGGATGAGGATATTAAGATAGCTGTCGGTGACGAAGTAGCAAGACAGTTGCTGTAACAGGACAACATCATTCATATAGAAGGCTAGGATCTGTTGTAAAAATAGCGTTAAAGACCGTAGTTGACTGTGAGAAAGTGGTTAGGAAGTGACAGTTTATGTCACCAGCTTCTTCAGAATTAATGGATGTGCGTGAATGCAATCCTGCAGGCTCTAAGCACAATGAGGAGTGAAAGCAACTCAAATGTAAACTGACAGGAAGTCCACGCAAGCAGTGGTGGGTAACGTAGGCTTAGGAAATGGAAAAGGGACTGGTCATGAGTAACAGCAGACAGTTGGTTAAGACTTAGCAAGGGAACTGAGATGAAAAGGTGAATGGTTAGTGAAACCATAACAGAAAAGAACAGGTTCGCGACTTGTTCGCATGAAATAAGACAGTCACGACGGTTGGAACACTTCGAGAGACAGTTCAACTGGTCTCCAGCTACCCAGTCGGATTCTAAATGAAGTGCTGAGATATGCCCTTCACGTCTTGAGAAGGCTGTAGGTATCCTGAAAAGGAAAAGAGGAGCAACGTGAGACGGGCCAGTACCGGAAGTATCTAAGAGTGGTGTCCGAGGATTATTAGTCAGGTAAACTGAAGCGTTAGCTAGCGCATGGGAATCAGAGATGTGCCTCTATGACTGGTTTCAATCATTTATTGTCCCAATCTTTAGAAAATGAGGAAAATCCTCTTGTGATAACCATAGGAAAGAGAATAAACCTGACAAACATAGTGTCTAAGATTCTGGTGTGGAGCTCGTGAACAACAAACCTAGGAAAACAAGGCAGGTTTCACACCTAGTTGTGGGTGTGTCGACTAGATATTAGCCTTTGCACTAGCTTCTGAAACACAGGTGCACTTACTGACGCCTGACACTAGCTGTATCTTTTGACCTCAAGGCGGCATTCGACTCCGTTGACCAAGAGGTCTTATTGAAGCGTCTCTGGTCGAAGATGATACGAGGTGGGTACATTACTCCGTTGAATGGTGTGTTACAGTGTATGGTGAGTTACCAAGTGGGTTATGTACGTCAAGTGGTGTCCGTCAGGGAAGTTCACTCTATCCATTCTTATTCAACGTTACCAGATATCCATCCATGGAGGTTTCCCCCTCGTCGCCCAACTTTACAGAAGTTGGTCTTGTCACAAGTGATTTCTTAGTAGATCCTAAGTGAAGATGCTGACAAGACGCTATATTGAGTAGCGAATTGAGAATACTTGCTTGAAAAATAGGACCAGTCCTGAAGCGTCAGTAACAGACGAAATCTATAGACAGACATTAAGGACTCTCTTGGCTTTTGCTCACTTTTATGCAATATATATCGCCAGGGTAATATCCTATTGCCAAGTTTACTGCGTCGTTCGCTCTGTTTTACTACACGGCTGCAGAACATGTCCACTGAATATAGAGAATATGAGAATGTTCCAGGTGTTTGGCCACCGTTGCTTTTGTAAAATAGACTGTGATGTGGTATCATAACGTTAGTAAGGTAAAAGTCAGGCGTAGAGTCTCGGATAGAAGAGGAAAGTCAGTTGGTGAAGTTGTGAACCTTCAACAACTCAGGTGGCTGTAGCATGTGCTGAGTATGCCTAGTCACTGTTTTTCTCATAGTACAATGTTGGTCAAAGTGGGTTCGGGATGGAAAAATGTTAGAGGTGGTCAGATTAAAACATGACATAATTCCATGAAGTCTTTGACTGTTGATATAAGCTGTGTAGGGAAATGAAGACTTCCCGGTTAGAGTCTATGTGACAACAAAAATCGCCAATCGGAGACTAAGTGACATAATTCAAAACTGATATCACTGGCGAAGATGCATTTATACATTATATGAATTGCCATAACGAATTTCATAATTGTTTCATTCCTTACTATTCTCCTCCCTATCACTTACTTAATTCCTTATTTCTCTATCTTCCGTCTTGGTGCATTCTCGCTTGATACGCTGATATGTGGTGTCGTAACGCCAGATAACACTCTAAGTAGTTCAGAGAAAAATCTTCAGCCTCGATCCTTCAATATCTCCGGTACAAGCCCACAGGAGCGCACTGCCACTCCTCATTTCGGATTGCTTAAAATCTTGCCAACTTTCGCAAAATTTGGAGTCCATATCTTAATGTCCCATTCAGAGTGGATAACTAAATAGTAGCTAGAGGCCAGTTGAATTATTCGTCGAGGTGTTCTGCTCATCATCCCAATTATCAGAATGGTCCAGACATTGAATGTTCTGATCTATAATCGGAAGCGCAGTTTCTGTAGACAAGATATGCTGTTTCGAAAACTACATCAGCTACCATGCTCTGGAGAGCTGGAAGAAATTAAGGACTACGTAGAAGTATTAAGAGAGAAATGTGAAGAAAGATTGGCAGGTGATAATGTCGAAGATTGGTGGTAACGAGAAAGGATTTGAGAGTTGACGGAAGTTTCAGAGCAGTTGACACTTAGCAAGATTCCACATTTATAAAGTTCAGCTAAGTGGACATTCATTCTATTCTTTCGTCATCCAAATTAAGTGCTGAGAATAGATAAGGACTGTCAACGGGATCGAGACTTACTGAACATATAGGACGTTAAAGATTACCACGGTTATTTGTCTGATTTTTATTGTTGCATACGGAATCGTCGTGGGAGTAGGCTTTAAAATCACTTAAAGTCCATGTTTTCGCGCTGAACTTCGACAATGTGAAGGTAATATCGGATAGGTAGCATTAATGTTTAATCATCCAAGAAGACATATTACTATGAGCTATTTACCGCTAGCGAAATACTCTTGCTCCTGGTTTAGTAAATGAAAAGATTCTCTATAATTGAAGACTATTTTCTTATTACCTAAAACGACAAGAAAAAGGTCTCTGTAAGAAAACATTACTTCGACAGCAATACAAGACTAATTCTCTATGATGTTTATTGAACACATACGAGATTATCAGCATTGATATACACTTTTTGTCCTTAGAATTAATCATATTGTAGTACTGACTAGTTTATCTAGATTAAAAACATATTAGCAATAATACCATGAATAAACAACCGGTTCATCATCACATCACTATCAACATAGGACCAGGCATTACTGCGTAACGGTCCGAGTTGCCACACCTCATATCAGCACATCAAGTAAAAAGGTAGTGAGGTGAAGGATGAAGATAAGTGAATGCAGTCAAAAGAAATATAAAGTACGAGAAGAAAGGAAAGAGGAGTGACAAAATAGTGAGATTCGGTATAGCGTTGTTAAGATGAGGATAATGTGTGTATACATCTGCGCCACTGACTTCGGTTCTGAGCCATATCACCTAGGGTCTCCAACCACTGGTTCCTCTTGTCCCGTGGACCCCAACCACCTAGTCTGCATCGTCCTACATGGCTTAAACCAACAGTCAGAGACTTCATACATTGGTGCCATGTTTTAGTCTGGCCACCTCGGGCCTTTTTCCAGCCTGAACCCACCTCAGCCAACATTGTGTGACGAGGCAATCGGTGACTAGGCATACGTAGTACGTGTCCCAACCATCTCAGTCGATGAAGGTTCACAACCTCGTCGACTGACTTACCTCTTCTCCCTAAAACTCTACACCTAACTTCTGCATTACTCACATGGTGACACCACGGAATACGTCCTATACTACGAAGGCAACGGTGGTCAAATACCTGTAACCTTCTCATGTCTTCCACTTTCAATGGCCATGTTTCACAGCCATACAGTAGAACAGAGCGGACTGCTGTGCAGTACACGCGACCCTTAATAGACAAACGAATATCACGGCGGCGCCATAGGTGGCGCAAATTGGCAAAAGCCAATCGAGCCTTTTGTATCCGTGCAGAAATCTCATCGGCAACTAACCCACCGGAGTTGATCCTACTTCCCAGGTAAGTGAAGTGGTCAACACACTCAACCACTTCACTCTCTATTGTTAACCGCGGTACCGCTGAAGACCAGTCCTGGAGCAAAAATTTGCATTTGGGTGGTGAAAATCGCATCCCAAACATTCTCAAATTCCCACTCAAAGTGTTCAGAAGACTCTGCATCTTGTCAGCGTCTTCACCTAACAGGACTATGTCATCTGCATATTCTAGATCTAAGGAAAATTCACCTGTGGTCCGGTCAACGTCTTTGTAATTAGGTGACGAGAGGGAAACCTCCATAAGAATATCTATGATAAAATTAAATAAGAATGGGGATAGTGGGCATCCTTGACGGACACCACTTGATGAGTATAGCTCCCTGGACAACTCACCATAGGCTCTAACATGCCCACAAGTGTTCGAGTAGAGAGCTTTCAATAAGGTGATGTACTTACTAGGCACGCCTTTCAGTGACAGACACTGCCATAAGACTTCTCGATCAACGGAGTCAAATGCCGCCTTCAGGTCGAGAAATACAGCTATTGTCGGGCGTCTGTAAGCATGCCTATGTTCCAGGACCTGGCGCAGTGTGAATATTTGGTCGATACATCCACGGCCAGGTCTAAAGCCTGCCTGGTTTTCTCGGGCTTGCTGTTCCCGAGCTCCACTCAGGCGTCGGAGAATTATAGAACTTAGGATCTTAGACACTATGTTTGTCAGGCTGATTCCTCTGTGGTTATCACAAGAGGACTTCTCGCCTTTCTTGAAGACTGGGATGATCAGTGACTTAGACCAGTCGGAGGGGATCGTATTTGATTCCCATATACTGGCTAACACTTCCGTTAGCCTGACTAAGAGAACTCTACCACCATTCTTGTATACCTCAGCAGGTAGTCCGTCTGGTCCTGCTGCCCTTCCCCGTTTCAGGCTACCTACCGCTTTCTCGACTTCTTCTAGTGTTGGGGGACCTGTCTCTATGTCCCATTCAGGGTCCGACTGGATAGCGGGCAGCGCAATGGTGGCTGGAGGCCAGTTAAACTGTTCCTCAAAGTGTTCTGCCCATCGTCCCAGTCGCCTTCCCTGCGAGTGAATCGCCGATCCGTCCTTCTCCGCTATAACCTCACTAACTGTTGTTGACCATTTCCCCCCAGTCTCCTTAATAAGTCTAAATAACTGTCTACTGTTACCGATCGCCGCTGCCTTTTCCATCTCTTTAGCCTTTGCTGCCCACCACTGTTCACGATCGTTGCGCAGACTTTTCGTCAGTTTATTTTATTTTATTTGTAGTGTTACAGAGTTGGTAGTTTCAACATCACTTTGCCTACTACCTCATTAGTAGTGTAGCTGAAGAATAACCCTAATCGTCATGCACACAAGAGAAAGTGACTGACATCCCTAGTAAGCTAAATAAAGTCTGCACCAGATTATTTTAAAATAATGGCTCAGATATTCTATTGAAATAGTATTGTACTTACCATTAATCATAGCTAGAGCTTTAGAGCCACAATTTAAGTTCAAAAAGCTCCCAGTCCCCATAGTAAGCTTAGCTTGACAAGGAGTTAAACAATTCTCAGTTAAGGTAGCCGCCTGAGCATCACCAATTATACCGGTGACTGGAATAGACAATGTCGGATTTGATGAATTTCCAAGTGGGCCATATCGGATAGTACCATAATAATAACTAAAAATAAACAAAAACAAAATCATTAGGGTTACATTGCAAAAAAATAACAATTAGGTGAGATGACGATAGGAATTGAATGACAGAGAAAACTGAGTTTTATAGTTGATGCACGCCAAAAAAACACTGTAGTTATGCTGTAAAAAATTGTGTATAAGGCTATTAATCATACTTGCATAAAGAAATACTATACCTGGGTTACTCAGACAGAAGTAGATGAAGTGGGTTCACATCAATAACGCAATTATGTGTTTGGATACTCCATTACCAACCATCATACTACTACTATGCGTCTTAGGTATCTTAAAAAGTAAACAATGACATCTAACTGCTATAGTAAGAATTATAAAAGCCGAGGTGAAAGGGCAACGTAATATATAATTTCTAACAGAATCTCTACTCACCTGGAAATTCTGTTCAACAGGATCATATTTGAAAACAACAACAACTAGTGGATTACTATTTATGGGTATACTTGTAATTCTCCGTTGTTTTATTGGGTCGAATTGTTCGACCTCTATTCTCATATGGGCCCCTATGCGGATGCCTCGATATAGCCTAAATGTTAATCATAGTAATTTGTTTGGTTGTGGCTAGCAGAAAAAATGAACGTCCTGGATTCTTCTGCTAGCCACAACCAAACAAATTACCATAATTAACATTCAGGCTATATCGAGGCATCCGCATAGGAGCCCATATGCCAATAGAGGTCGAACAACTCGATCCAATAAAACAACGGAGAATTACAAGTATACCAAAAAATAGTAATAACTAACACTCGTTTTACAAGACGTAGATATCGCGCCTCCTTGGCATAGTGGGTAACACCTTGGCGTTTAAAGCGATGGGTACGAGGTTCGGAGTTTTAGTGGGAACAACATCGTGTAGGTACATCCAGCTGACGAGTCCCAAATATGACGGAATGCGCGTCCTGGATTCTTCTGCTAGCCACAACCAAACAAATTACCATAGATAGTGGATTAATAATATGACCATCTAATATCTTAGTGATTAACGGAATATGACAATCATATAATGATGATTATTAACGACTGTTATTCTATTAAGTCACTTTATGTAATGCTGTCTTCAGTACATACAAAGCTAGATTACCAAAATTATCCCACCAAACAGACAGAAAAACGTAGAAGCCAACTCAAAAGCGAAACGGTCTAAACTGCAACAAATCTACTTCAATCTGAAGGTTTGTGGGAATTTATTGATTGATTTTTCGTTGATATTCGTCATTAACTGACATCAGTTGGAGAACCAATGGAAGTCTGGGGCACTAGAGAGCTGTTTTACCCTAATATTGGGCTCCTCAGAAGTGGGTACCCCTGACCCCACCAGGAAATTACTCTAGTGTTCATTAGCGACTTGCTTCAAGATGAAATTCCGGAAGTTTTAATGAGAAGCTGTAACTAGTGACGTTAACCAAGTCGGACATGAGAACAGTTATTTAGCGACGACACTGGATGGAGGTCGCATTATATCGTGAACTGACAGAAGTAGGAAAATATGGACCATTGGATTCCGATCCAATGCCTCAATAGCAACGTGCTGGCCGAGAAACCTGAAGGTACTGGGATCGATTCCTGGCAGGATCGTGGATGCGCACTGCTGAGGAGTCCCATATTAAAACAAAGTAGCTGTCCAGTCCTCCAACTGGTGTCAGTACATGAGGAATGTCAACCTGAAACCAACAAATTTCCTTACTTTTGTACTCATCAACGACTGTGGCAAAGTTAAAAATTTCGAAACAAAACGGCTGATAGAACACAGACGGCTTAAACCTGTGATCGGTTCATTTTCACAGGCACTTTGTTTAACTATCATGCATTGGTTAAATGGATGATCAAAATAATGAAAAGAGCTGGAAAAAAAAATTTCTTTCCGACAATATGACTTGGCTTCTATTATTATAAGCAATAGATTTTTTAAAACAGAACAAATTGGATGAAATGCAACCAGTGACTGTAAAAGCTTTTATCAATTACCTAGTTTTCATAAGTAGATTAAAACTGACATGATATGCCTATAGTTAGTTGTTTATTTGGTTGATTACCTAATCTTACTCCCAGTACAACCAGCTCTATCACACTTAAATAACTTGAAAATATCAAGAGTCCAACAATTATTAACTCATAAGCCTGACACAAACATTGGATGAATTTCAGTCTAGTTATCTGTTATAATGAAAATAAAAGACCGTATTATGCATGTCTGAACAAATTAAATTGAATAACTGAAATCTGGGAAATTTGGACAAATGTATCAGGTGACAACTAAGTATATCTATCCTCTCTGAGGAATGTAACTTAGCAACGGTGTGGAGGTATATGCACTAAGCAGTGAGCTACATCATCTATTATCTGAGGGCTGTGATACTGCCTGACAACCTAAACCTCAGTGGGTGGACTGAAGTTAGAACTCGGCATATAGTGTGAAAATCAAAAGCCTAGATCAGTGAATCACAGTTCCAACATGAATATTCAAACAAGTATACAAACGTTTATGATGATATCATGTGGTCAATTGATATTACCTTCGAGAGTAAGACTGTTTGACATTCTGTTAGTTGTTTCACGTATGATAAAATTAAATCACTTTGGGTCTATTTGTAATAGAAATAATTTTTATATTTCGAACACAAGCTTGATACCATGAAATGTGTCACATAACGTGATACAAGTCAATAGGTAAGAGAGGAAAAAAGAGAATGAACAGGCCAGTAACTCGATAAGATACGTTTACAGAAAGCTTCAATCGCATTCGTGTCACTTCTCACATATAAAAGATACAAGTAAACCACAAAATGATCACCGCTGGTTTCGACTCCAAGCCATATCTGATATGACCCCTTTCGAATCCCGATAAAGCAGTCTTCAGATACAAATATGTCAACCGAGTACAACTATGTTTCATTCCATCGTGCCAAATGAGACAAAAAGTCATTTACGATCACTATTTAAAAGATCAAATCTAGAGAAATCTTTCGATCTTATAGTGTCTAGTACAACACTTCTACGTTATTACTCAAAACAGATATGCAAATTTACTACGACAGCAGAATTTTCAAAAAATCTTAAGTGTGATTAGATTATGACAAACAAATGGACAGGATACATACACACAAGTAAATAACTGAGTAGTGATTAGCATGTTTGCGATGATACTATCGACCTGACAGTAAGCTGGAAGCTCTTTCTTTTAGAAGGCGACATGACTGTATGCTTAACGAGTTCTTGTAAAATTTAGCATGCGAATTTCGTTTCCTAAATGTTATCTGTTGCTTCAGTTGTTAATTTATCACTTCATCAAATTTTATGCTCCTTAAGTGGTATATAAATAGGGTACAAACAACGACAACCTCGCCTAGGTAACTAGTTCACAAGTTACTAACCGGTACCAAGCCCGCATAAACAGGGGAAATTGGGCATACGGCTAGCAACCCTAACCCAGAAAATCAATCCAATCGCTAAACAAACTTCAAAGCACAGACAAAATATAAAAAGTATAAACAAACTTATTCCTCACTGGAATCGGGGAGATGAAATGACGCCGGGTGGTGAAAGCCTTCGACAAGCCCATTGACCGATGTGTCTCCTCTTCTCTCCATCAAAGCGAAAGTAAACATGGGGACATGAAATGTCCACATCATGTATCAACCTAGCAAGCCTGACCACATTGCAAACGAGGTAAGAAGGTATAGCATAGAAGTGCTTGGAATCTGCGAAAGCAGATGCAATGGAAGTAGACTCTCCAAACTGTCAACTGGAGACAAGTCAATAATCCACTGCGATATTGTCACCCAGACGACAACCACGAGCACACTGAATTTTAGAGTGGCTATCATGATCTCTCCAATAGCATTAAAGGCTCTCTCTCTCTCTCTCTCATGCAGTGGGAACCAATCTCCTCCACAATCAGCTTCATGACACCAAGATCCAACTCAAAAGAAGGGAAAGTCACAATCATACAATACCACGCCATGCACCTACAAATAATCCAGATCAAGAGAAGAAGGAGGGATTCTACAGAAAACTGCAATCAACACTGGACAAGACGTCAGTTGGCGACATCAAAATTCTAATGCGTGGAGTGACATGAATGCCAAACTCGGCGAGGACAACACACAAAGAGAATCAACTATGGATCAACAAGCGCTCGGTGAAATGATGAGTCGGAATGGAGAACTGTTTGCAGATCTCCGCGCATTCAACGATTTGGTGATTGGATGCAGTGTGTACAAACACAAGGATATTCACAAGGCAGCGACATGGATTTGATTTCACCAGACACACTACACTAAAAATCACATCAACTTCATCTCAATGTGAAGAAAGTGGAGACGCAGCCAGCCTTCTGGATACATGATCAGAACAAGAAGGAGAGCACATGTAGGTTCACACCACTCACTATCTACTGCAAGGAACCTGCCTTCAAAATCAAGTTGAAAGCCTTCAACCATACTGGTGGTAGACCACAGTTCAAGTTCAACACCAACAACAATAACTGAAGAGCGAAATTACAAAGGACGTCTTCACGTCAGTCAGTCATCAGAACAAAATGGGAGACATTGAGCGACATCCGTGAGGAAACCTGTGTAGAAAAACACTGGAACTCTTTGAAAGCTATGTGGAGAGAAACCTGCATAACTGTATTAGGAAGGAAGAAGAAAGAAGACAATGAATAGATCTCGACGGACACATGGAAGCTGATAGAAGAGGGAGAAGAGGATGGTGAAGCACAAGATGAGGCAGTGCAGTGCACGGATGAACAACGAAAAGAGGAACTGAACTCAACCTATAAAACACTACACTGGACAAAGAAGTGAAGAAGACTGCGCACAAAGACTAAAGACACTTCTACAACACACTGGAAAGTGAAGCAGAACAGACTGCAGACTGCTGGTAGGAGAGACAGAGACCTGACAACATTGTATCAAATAATCAGGTTACTATCTGGCAGGGAAGAGATCAACGCAGATGACAACTCATGAAAGATAGTGAAGGAAACTTATTTACCAAAGAGGAGAAACAAAGGAAACAATAGATGGACCACTTCAAAAAACTATGGGATCGACCACCAACTGCACTTCGTCCAGAAATACTACCAGCAGTCCAGTCGCAGAACTATCAGTGAACACAAGCCCTCTGACGAAAGTCAAAGTCCTGAACACCATAAAGCTGCTTTAAAGGCGGGAAAGCAGTAGGATCAGATGGAATTTAATCCAGAAGCACTGAGAACAGACGCAGAGACAACAGCGGACACGCAAGGAAGGAAAGGTACCTGCCCGTTGACTGGAAGAATGGCTACCTTGACAAACTCCCAAACAAGGGAGACATAAGTCTTTGTCAGAACTGGAGTGGAATCATGCTCCACACCTGTCCACACCAAGCAAAATATTAAGCCGCATCATCCTCAAGAGACTAACCAATGCGCTGGATTAAAACTACAACCGGAACAGGCTGGCTGGCTGGCTGGCTACAGGAAGTACAAATCATGTGCGGATCAAATTCCAACGCTACGCCACGTCACGCCACGCATCATCATACAACAGAGAGTAGAATGACAGTCAACTTACCTCCACCTCAACCTCATCCACTCTGAAAATGCCTTTGACAGAGTCGACTAAGAAGTATTTTGAAAACTATTTCAAAACTACAGAATACCACAAACTCTTATCAACCTCACTCAACAACTGTGTGCTACATGAACACACCACATGCCAAGTGATTCACAATGGGAAGCTCAGTGACACCTTCGAAGTGAAGACAGAAACGAGTGAGCCAAGGCTGACGCCTACTATCACCGATCATCTTCCTGACTGTGGTCAACTGGATCATACAGCAAACAGTGAGCAGCGAGAAGAGAGGCAAACACTGACTTGACCAATGAAGAGATGTTCGAAGATTTGAATTTCGCCAATCATGATTTATGTCTAATATCTTGTCGCACAAACTCGAAGATCTACAGGCAAAAACTAACAAGTTGACAGAAGAGGCAGCGAAAACGGGACTCCAAGTGAATGTGGAGAAGACAGAGGTGATGAAGATACCCAACCAACAACAGCATCAACAACAACAAGCACCAATCACCATGAATGGGAGAAACCTAAAGGGAGTAGTCTCTTTCACCTACCTAGGCAAGGAGCATTGTTTCAACTGCAGGTGGCACAGGCACACATGACGATTTCAAAGCCAGCATCGGGAAAGCGAGACAGGTCTTCATCAACCTGAAACCAGTGTGGAGACCTACTGCACTGCACTCAGCACAAAGCGTGGATAAGATCCGGATTTCCAACACCAATGTCAAGTCAGTGCTTCTATCTGGTAGTTCAGAAACTTGGTGTGTCACGAAACGCACTTCCAACAAACTACAGACATTCATCACATCAACAGCTGCAGCCTACGCTCGCTCACTCACTCACTCGATAGTGAAGATCAGATGGATGGCCAGAATAATAAGAATAAACAACAAGGAACTCACATTGATATGATTATGAGCAATAATTTATGCTCGAAACGTAATCAAGTAAATAATACTGTATCACTGTGCGCTTTATATCAAATAAACAAATCTAATATGGAACAATGAACTCACTCTGACTGGCTGTCAACGAACCAACTAAGCAAGAACCCACCGCCCAACAAATATGCAGAGGCAAGTGGAGATGGATGGGATTGGGCATACACTGAGAAGGTCGATTGGGGACATCACACACCAGGTCAGGCCGTCGAGTGGGATCCAAAGGTGAAACGATGAGTTGAGTGTTCGAGGTGGGGGTGACATGGACGAGATGATGTGAGGAATAAATGAAAGGTTGTGGGCGGTCGTGGCGACAGGTTGTAAAGACTGCAGAGAACAGAGTGCAATGGAGGCATGCTACTGAGGCCCTATGTTCCACTAGGAACCCAAGGGACAAATAAAATTTAAAAAATACACTAAAACACAACTGCCCGACACTCACTCATAAATATATGATGCTCTCTAACTTGTCATGTGAAAATAATCCACGCCCAATCTTTATCATAAAAATTAAAGCAACTTCACAAAATGCTCACCTGGAGGGAAAGACGTCGGGAAGAATATTGAGAGGTATTCCTAAACTGGTCAAAATTGGATGGCTCCATTTACGCTACAAAATAATGAGAGCGAACATGTTACCACTGCAACGCAAACACCCGATAAAATGTCAAATAATAATCATAATAAATGAAAACGACTGGATGAGACAAAGAGGAATTCAATTCCCTTTAATTTTTTTTCATGATTATGCAGAAAACGAAAGGAAACTATTTGAGGATTATTGGCTGATATTTCGAATTATGTCACTTTCAGGACCCACTGAGGAGGCTGATATGTGTCAACAAACTCCAAATTAGAAGAACAATCCCTTACTTGACGATATTACTTCATAAGCTGAATGTTTCTGTTTGCTGCAATACCAGTTCTAGCGCGAGCAAAGAAACTTGATTTTGATATTTTTCATACGGTTTGCATTTCATGTTCCCAAATCACAGAAACTGGTATTCACAGATGATAATTTATACAATAATGATATTTATCGTACTCAAAATAAGTCCCCACAATATTGCCACGCAACATACAACGCATCCCATAGGCTCTACTCTCTCTCTTTCTCTGTATATATATATATATATATATATATATATATATATATATATATATATATATATATATACTGTGAGACAAGGATCTCGTAGCTACTTCTACAGGTATAAAAATGATACATTCATCAAACGTTAAGTTTCGGATATACAAAGTCCGTTCGGTATTCCCCACCTTCATCATCTCTGACTCCGATGAGATATCCCTATTTCTGTTTAAGGAAAAGTATGCTGCAAAACGGTCCGCTCTGTTCTATTACACAGCTAGGAGAGCCGAGTTGAGACTTGATGGTTTGTAAAACTTTGTAATACTGGGTTGGGAAAAGGTTAAGGAGATCACGTTAAGATGTGGTACTAGTCTATTAAGTTTTTAACCACTGGTGTGAGCCACGTAGGGAGGTGTAGAATTCCTGGCTGAAGCCCTAGAGATAATAAGAAACAATATTTAGAGACTGCTGGTGATATGGTTCTACATCGATTACGACGGTGCAGACGTATAGACTCTTTTTCAGTTTCGAAGTTTTGTATGGTTTCACTAACCTTTATTCATTTATTCTCTCAACTTTCAACACTTCAATCTACCTCAGTACCATTTTTTCTATCGACTTGTTCGTGTGACAAATTGAACCGATCCATTGATGTATCAGGTTTTATGTTAAGATATCTGCATTTCATTGAGTTCTGGAGTACAGATTTATGTAATATAAGAAAAATATTTGGTGAGTATTTGAAATTCACTGCTTTAGACTGAGATTTGCATTGTACATGTCTGTGTCAATGATATGCTAAGAAATAGGTGTAAAGTAGCTTTAAAACAATCAGGGTTGCAAATGACGTCAGTTTGTTAATCCATTGACTGTTGGTTTGCACTTATTTGAGAAGCAGCAGACTAGTTTGCTGCGGTTTGCACAGTGGTAGAAATCAGTACACAGGTTAAATAACGTGGATCAAATCAATGGCATTAGTGTAGATGTATTATTCCTTTACCTTCAGCTGAATGACTTTAAAGTAAAGTGCTCACTATGCTTGTTTGCATCATTAAATCTTGGTGGCCGAAGTAGGTCCAGGCTGGAAAAAGGCCCGAAATGGCCAGAATAAAACATGGCACCAATGTATGAAGTCTTTGACTGTTGGTTTGAACCATGTGGGGCAAAGCAGACTAGCCGGTTGGGGTCCGAGGGACAACAGCAACCAGTGGTTGGAGACTAGGTGATATGGCTCAGAACCGATGTCAGTGGCGCAGATGTATACATACATTATCCGCATCTTAACGACGCTATCCCGAATCTCACCATTTTCTCATTCTTCCTTGCTCTCTTTTCGTACTTCATATTTCTTTTGATTGAATTTTCTTATCTCCAACTTGAGTCTCACTGCCTTTCTACTTGATGTACAGATATGCGCTGTGGCAACTCGGACCGTTATGCAGTAATGCCTGGTCCTATGTTGATATTGATGATGATGATGGTACACTTAGTAGACTGCAAGAATTCACTCATCCGAAGTCTTTAAACATTTGCATCCCCTATACATTTCCTCTAAATCTGACGCACAATTATAAGAATGATGAAATAATCTAGCTAGTTATGATATGAGTCAGTTAAGTTGTTTCAAACATTACACATCTCACCTAGTGGGAAAGACCATGTTTTCATATTGGTGATTCAGTGATTTCACCAGATAGTTGCTTCAAAAGGCTAGAGATGACTAATCGAGTATCACAATTAAATTGGAGCGCTATGATGTACAACTAACCGTGGGAGATCTCTGCGGGACAACATAGGTGAAATTCCTAACAAGATTTTTTTTAGTAACCAGCCTGGTCGACAAGAATACATGTGCGTAAGATTATTTGAACTATCCAGAACAGTTTCTGAAAAGTGGTATGTTGTAGTACAATACAACACAATCCCACATCATTACATTGAAGATTAGGAAGATACAAAATGTTTGGATAATAGATGGATAAAACATGAATTGAATCTTTGAAGATATAAATAGTTGGAATGGAATGCACTAGGTAACTACATGTACACTCGTGGGGTAGGCAATAAACCATACCTATTATATGACGGATAATGGTTATCGAGACCTCGGTAAGTAAAGTAGCACTTAAACCCGCGACCTATCAGGTGAAAATCAAGCGCCCAAACCAATGAGAGACAACAGAGGTATTTGAAAATTTAAACAGTTCGATTACTAAATGGTGACAATTTTAGTTTTGAATTATGTTCGAATTACATCTTGGACAAGTCGTGCACTGATATGAGATTCATGCTGACTCTGTTCCGAAATAATTTATATTAGATCATGGACTTCACAAACTGCTTTTGTTCTCCATTTTGACCGTTGTTTCATCAGTCCAGGGAGATTATGTATCAACTTCCAGTATGACAATATACATTCATTTAGAAGGAAGTTTAAACTCCTAACTCCCTTTTTATTGGAAGAGGATACTGTTAATAGTGATGCATAAAAACTTACAGAGAATGGATCATACATGCCAGTGACACTTGCACAACTAATATCTGTAGCAAATGTTTCACCACCCGTTAGCTTCCATAGTAACCATGTCTCCAAACAACCATAACAGAGTAGACCTCTGCGACATTCATCTAACAGCTAAAGCAAATAGACAGGTGGAATGAAGCAGCACATGAACCGCATTAGTTTTCAATTTTCAATACAAACGAAACGATAGTATGTACAAGATTACTAAAACTGAAACGAAAATAGCTACTAATAAACTACGCAAAAACAGTCGAATTCTTCCCTAATTGATTACAAGTCCTGATTGACAAGTAAATTCTGTAGTTGCAAAACCAAGATGAGAAAAATACAGAAAATGACAAACTGTTGATCTGAGCTATTTTGGAAAGTGTAAGATCGAATGACGGTAAAAAATAAGTGGTTCAGAGTTTATGTAGTAGAGATCGAAACTAATCAAAATGAAGCAGATGCGTTTACTCACCTTTCTTAAATTATGAACATAATACTCCACACCTATCTGATTATTATCCATTCATTCATTTCCTCAATTCATTTTACGACTACCTTTTGGATTTGACTTACTTTTTCTGCGCTGCTACAAAGTGCGACGCCTTGAGCGAATACACTTGTTGTGAGACTTAGTATAGCTTTATCTGTCTAACATTACGGTAACGAAGTACTGCTAGGTAGCGAACCACTGGCGATAATACCTCAACAAAATAGAATTCACTTTCGACCACTAGACGGAAGTTTTAGAACTCGAAACAACGTACATAATAGTAATAATAATCGAAACGAACGACAGACAGACAATAATGAGAAGTGGACTACATAGCTAAAAAACAGGACATTAAAGCTAGCACGTACAACAACATTCCGTGAATTCTACACACATGCACATATGCAACTGACGAGAATGATACTGAATATGTAACTTATTAACAGCGAAAATAAATAATGGCAGTTATGAGAAAAAACTGAGGTGACGGTGAAAAACACCCTAAGCTCTAAATCACTTAGTACCCTCGCTCTATTTTAAATAACAAAATTTCTCTTGAAAGACTAATTAAATTACACTTATTGAGATTGGTTTCTACATGGTCACATAAACAGTCCAGAGTGTTCAGTTGTTTAGCACCTAGAACATAAAACAGAAAATAAAGTACATCAGTTATCAAGATATGTGCACTACGATTTCAATGCTGTATAATATCTTTCTCCTGAAAAGGTCACTGTCCCAGTGCTGATGTGAAGATCAGGATAGGCTCGTCCACTTTCTGGGAGAATTTCATACTCTTGCTGCCGATGAGGCATTTGGCAGAAACAGTTGCACTGAAAAATATGCTGGTTCCACCTGGTTGTAGTGGACTGTTAGAACATTTTCAGATTGTTTTTGGTGCCATATTACAATAGTGACAGGTGAACGTCAGTAAACGGTTTCATATATCCCTTGCCATAGATTATGTATGGTTGTATCGGCCAGTCGAGTCATTGTCGCAATCTAACAGGCTTTTTCCTAGTTTACAAACGTTCACATGTCACTATTGTAATACGGCACCTAAAACGACCTGAAAATGTTCTAACAGTCCACTACAGCCAGGTAGAACAAGTATATTTTTCAGTGTCTCTGTTTCTGCTAAATTCTTCACCGGCAATAAGAGTATGAAATTCGAAGAGATGGAAGAGCCTACCCTGATTTTCTCGCCGCCACTGGGACAGTGACCTATACAGGAGAGATATTATACAGCATTGAAGCTGTGATATGGAGATGAACACATGAAACCATTTATGTGACCATACAGAATAACTCAATCTGAACTAGGGTAATTTGTATTTTTTCGCATTACATGTCGCTATTTTTTAAAGGCATGGGCCTGTTATAATACATTTTTATTTTTGCCCACTGCTGTTTCCTACTGTCCTCGAGCTGTTTGTTGTGTCGACACTGTAGATTATATCTCCGTTTTAGAAGCTGTTTAGTTCCTCACTCGTCATATTCTGAGTGCTGCATTTTTAATATCTGTGGATAAACATCTCCAATCCAGAACTTGATTACTTTTCACAGTAATATAATAGGGGGGGGGGCAACTTCTACCAGATATCTCCCAAACAAAATAAGTAGCATAAACCGACTGAACCTTTCGTATCTCTGACGAGATTTCGATCGCCATCGAAATACCAAAGATAATCTCACTTTCAGAGCGAACTGGTTAAAGCTTTCACTATTTTATTCTATATTGTCAGACGCGTATCAGTGCCAACCAGTCCTCAAGTAATAATCCACATTTAAGTGACACATCACGCAAATATTCTTATGCTAATATCCAATGTGTTCAGAAAACTAAATCTTCATCGAGCTGCATTATGCTGGCTGCATGGTCTGCGTTAACCAGTAGATCTACTATTGATGACGGTGAGTATAGGAGAGTGATCGTCATAAGCTCCTAAACATGATAAGAGTGGGGGTCCTTAACAGACACCACACAGCATACACAACTCACCCAAAAGCCTAACGTAGACCATAAAACGACTAAAGGTGTTCGAACATTAGGTCTCTAGGAGGTCGACTTACTTCAAGTAAAGGACACTATCATAAGACTTCTTGATCGACACGAAAATTGAAATGATCAAAATGTAACTCAGTAACCATGCGCATGTATATGCAGTAGGCAATGAACTAACCACATTTTGTGAGGATTTTCTCTCCCACTTCACTATTCGAACCTCGGCAGTTGGAACAGAGTTTGAACCCAAGACTAACTGGTTGGAAATCTATTGTCTAGACTAACCAGTCACAGCCCAATTCTCAAACTACGCAAGTGGATGCCATCTTTAGGTCAACGATTACAGCTAGTGTTAGGGCCAATAATTGTATCGGTAGTCTAAGATGCGCTGGAGCATAAACATCTGGTGGATAAAACAACTAGGTAAGAAACCTGTTTGGTGTTTTCGACTTTTTAGTTAGACATCTGATAACCACAAAACCCGCAATCTCAGAAATTATGATCATGACTGGCTTTTCTGTAGTGATCACAAGACGATACTCCTCTTTTCTTGAAGACTCAGACAATCAGAAATGTAGACTAGTCGGAAGAGATCATATCTCATCGTAATATGCCACCTAATGCTTCAAACAGTTCAAACAATAATCCTTGGTCACAGTCTTTAAATATCTTTGGTGTAAGCCCATCAGGGTCTACTGACATTCCTTATTTCAGATTGCTTACAAATCCCTCGACTTTTGGAAGAGCTGACGACCGTGTCTCAGTGCTCCATGAACAGTCAGTTCACACTTGAACTTTTTTTGCTTCTCATTTTTGTCGGAGCCTGCAGGAATGCGTTCACAGGCACCTACTAACTTCAGGGCTTCTAAAATGTACCAATTTTTTCTTTCTTTTTCAAGGTCAGTTTTAACTGCTATTCTTACAGCAAACTGGGAATGGCACCAGACTTCTGCAAAATGAGTAACACTGTCACTTTCTGATAATTATTTAGCCATTTTCTTTTTGCCAGCAACCTTCTTATTCTTACTGTTCAGCTGACCTAAAAATGGTTTTGAATTGTAGCTTTTTGCGTTCATTTGAGTACAAACATACGCCTAGTCGAGGCAATGGTTAGTCAGTAGCCAAACATATGAACCAAGAGTGGCACCCGTAAATCGACCCTCTGCAGTGGCAACTGATAACAATACGACATGTCTGCCGCCGGGTCTAGGTTGGTGGGCATGACGTCATTGCCTGGAATTCATGCTGGCCAGGAATAGATGATTGCTTTAGTTTAGTTGTAGCAGATGACTACTACTATCTGTTCACCTAGCGAAAATCCCTAAGAGCATTTTCACCTTACTTCACATTCCCGATAGTCAAGTGAAATCACTCGCTATGACAATCAAATGTGAACATTTGGACTTCAACAGTTTTCACCTAAACTACAGTCACTAAATGAGGTAGCACAGGTTAAAAAACAGTAACGACATATGCCTCTGTCTATTTTAGTTTCTGTGTACTATCCAGTTAAGCAGTGAACAGGAGACTGTAGATTGGGACTCATTTAATCAGTATGCTTTTTGGTTCAGGATTTAGTGCTATACGTACATAAACAAAACATTGAGGACTAACCTACAAATATTAAGAAGCTCGAGGGAATTTCGAAGAATCGTTCCGACTGTCGAGTGGGGTCAAGTGAATCCCCTCACTTGGATCATGTGTCACGCAGACGCAACATATGTCCATGACCCGGTGTAGTTCATAAAGATAAGATATGTCGTTTCACTATCATAGACTACTGAGCTAACAAAAAGTAAAGACTACGCAGAATTATTAATAGAGAATTGTGAAGGAAGATTAAGGCAAATATGTGGAAGGGAGACAGTAATCAGAAAGAAAGAATAGGTATAAGGGTGATTGACACTTTCCTGCTCCCCATAACACAGAAGGTTACCTACTTCTGGAGTACTTGGAGAAAAGGCGAATCAGTAAATGTCGTCTTACCAACCTACAGAGCACAAGAGACAGTCGCTTGAGGTCGGTTAAATGTGACCTTGTACGAGGTTCTTTAATCAAACTTGTGTTTGGTTTATATTTTGAAAAACTTTACCAGCGACGTCAAGAATCCATGTGGAGAGGGGTGAATTTACTACTTTTAGGCCCAACACCTTGTAAACTTTCCTCTCAAAGTGGAAAGGAAGCAGTCTTGGAATGATTATTTCCAGAAAATATCCTACTGCTAGTTTACTCCACGCAACCAGCACTATGACTTTGCTCGTTAACCCTCACCACAGAGTAAGTAATTCATGCTATGAGGACAGCTACTTTTTGTTTAACTACTAACCAACAAGCCATACTCAGATGGTATGACAACTCGGAACAATCGTCTTAGTTAGTATAGCTCATCAGGTCACTACGATATATAAGCCCGACTACATAGATTATGAATGCGGAGGAATGTGTATGGGATTTCGTGGTTGGACAGATCTCAGTAGTACCAAAACTAAATATATAAACCAATAAACATACCTTTGGTCTTTCATTTAGTAAGTATTTAAGACGTACACAAGCTAATGCTGTCTTGAAATGGTATGATGCCAATGCTTTGAACCTTGAGCGATGAGTAATCCAGTATAAAAGATGACCACCAGCCTTCATACTCTGTAAAGGAATGAAATTAGTAGAAAAAGAATAATATGCAAACAAAACGTAACAGAACCGTATTTTTAAAAAATATCTCATTAATATCGTCTTCTATTTACTGCCTACGTACTGCTGTGAATCGTATCAACTTGAATTGGTGTACTTCTATATTAGGTTTCACGGTGATTTGTTCGTCCCTCTATTCGGTATCTTATGGTAAACTAACAGCTTTTGTCCGGTCCTACATTACTATGGTTAAATATTTCGCCCAAGATTACTCGTTGTGGCACTAACTAGTGGGCTCTGAATGCATTTTTTAGAATGCACGGTGTTACGTTATTGTTTTATTTGGTCGGACTTCATGTTAAAGGTTAACATTAAATTTGCTATGGTACAATATTCTTAGCTTGTAGTAAAGAGTAGTTCAACCTTTAGAATGATAAATTTATTCTAAGACCACGATAGGTTGACCTATGATCATTAGTTATGCAACATTTATTTACTAATTTGTCTTTCGTTACACACTCTTGTGTACCTTGACATCATTTTATTGTATTGACTTGCCCTTAGTACGCCGCTGTGAAATCGTGGTAAGTTGAACAGATACACTTCTGTGCAAAGTTGTACGCGGATGTTAGTCTACACCTGTCAGTTTTGTGATATCTTCGGAGAAAGGATGGCTTGCAGTATCCCTGGTATATCTTGATGAAACATTATCCGATTGATACTGACTAACAGAAGTTGCAAGCGTACAATATAACAGTAACTCTCTCAGGTGACATGGAAAAATATGTGCAGCTGCATGAAATTTTTTGGAGATCACGGTGTATTGTCGCAGCCTCAGTAACTTACTGCATTCGGCTGAGGCTTTAATACATACAAATATCAATAAAAACTGGTTACTGGCAAAGTGCCTGCCACACTTGTGTTGTTACTTTTTAAACTAGGCTCTTGACTTTCAATCAGTTACGCTTTCGGACTGCGCCCCACCTACCAAGGTTTGATCAGTCAGAAAGCATCACTAACCTACACATAACTGGCATGGTTTATTTCCTAATACACAACCTGCATGTAGTCTTTGGGCTACAAAAACCCAACGTGCTTCATTAAAGATTACGCTTAATTTCAGCTCTAGTCATTTGACCCAAAAGACTGTTGCTTTTTCCAAATATTATCTCACCTGAAGGAGTAGAAAGTTAAAAACCTGCCATGGAAAATTTCATAATCAAAAGAACGCCGAATTCCATTTATGCTCTTCGGTATTCACATTAAGGTTTTGGTGATAATCAGGTCACGAAAAAACAAACAACTAGTGATGAAAGTGAAACAGCGAACACAATAACTACTTTATTCTTATCCAATTCACCAAAATCGTTTGAATACAATACATCTAGTGTATACTTAGACTAAAGATAACAGTAGTGTTTTTACTTTACAGCAAAATTTCTTTCCTGACAACCTGGTTTCCACACCCAACATAGTGAATACTCTTGTTTTCAAGCATTTATCCTTATATGTATGTAAAATCTGGTCAACTTAAGGTTCATGAGAGACGTCACTACCAATTTGTTTCAAGGCACTGTAAAACGATTATCTCAAGCAGGCAGATCAAAGTGAGATTCGGGACAGGAGTGCATCGGTTTCAGTTGACATAGTTTGCAGTATCATATAAAGTATACAGAGGAGGAATGATACTGGAGAAGTAGAAGAGTACGAGAGAGGAAATTAATTAATTTCGAAGATGACAGAGAGTGTATACATCTGGCTTGCCCAATTTAAATTATATAGTCTCAAAAGCCCTAACAAAGCATCCTCTTTACACGGTTTAGACCAAGTCACAGACTTCATAGATTATTGCTACGGATAAGCCTGACCATCCTTAGCTTTCTACCTCATGCCCAAAAAGGTGTTAAGATGAATTTTTAAAATGAGGAACCAGAGCCTAACACTAAGCAAAGACTATTCTGCTAAAAGCCATCTCACCTCCTTAAAAACTTTCATTATAACTTAAAAGCCATTTGAATGGATATAGAATATTCTTTTCCATAACTTCTTTATGTCCTAAAGTTACGTGTCCATATTGTGGAATTTTGCGTCAACAACATTGAAATTATGTTGAATAGTTTGTTAATAGTAGCATGCAGCTCGGGAATTCACTTCGGAAAAAATTTTGTGAACGTTGATGATAGGACCAGTTATTATTGGAATTCAATCCAAAATAATTGACTACATAAACGATTGCAGGGCTTATGTAATACTATAAGGTGACAGTTCCATAAAACAAGTGCAGGATGTGCATCGAAGCAAGGTGCAACAAATAAAGGTGATTTTGGAAATAATAGCTTAGTAAGATGTTGCTCATGTTAGGGAACAAAATCGGTTAAGAGTGTGATAGAATTATTTCAGACTACAGAGATATCCACAGTGTGGAAGTTGCAAATTAGATTACACGGGGGGTGGGGTAGAAAGCTTCAGAATTTGAGAATCCAAAACGAGGTCAAGGTTTTTGTAGCGACAACACCTGCTTTTACTGAACACATAAATCTGATTCTCACCGCTCCTTCAGTTTGAAGGATTCGGAGCCGGGTGTCTTTTAGCGAGTTGGTGGAAACCCGGTGAATAATGGAAAATGACTTATTCATATCTGCCCATTTGGGCTTAGTGGGCTAATATAGAACTGTTAATGGTCTTTATCACACCTTCGTTTAACCAAACTAGGAGATATTTGCAAGGGCAGAAAACTAAATTCTTAGAGCAGCATACGACGACTGATAAAAACAGCAGGAAGTGGTCGGTTTAGGCAATTCATTCAACAATCTCGGTGTCATCACTGGGCGTATGGGAAACGTAACTTGTAATTTGCCAACATTGAAAGTTCTTTGAAATTATCTATGCGGTCCATGAATTAATATCTCGCTAGGCATATCACCTCTAAATCTCACCCAAATGTACGGGGGTTGTCTGTTGGTCGTTAGAATGTCTTTTCTTGCTATTTTGGTAATAATGTTTCTTTAAAATTTTATCAGGATAACCATTTCCGGTTAGTGTGTTGTGTAAAGTTGTCACTTCCTCAATTGTATCTACCCAACATATAGCATTCATTCTATAACTTAATCTTTATCAAATTTCGTTAAAAATGAAGAGGGGTCAAGCTAAATAAATGTGTATCGTCCCGTCCACGTACTTTTTCTAGACAGCTTCTTCTTGATCGACCCGTTCGTTTTGAGAGAAAATAAAGAAAAACTATTTTGCCTTCTGACTTTCACATGCATATCTCATCACTAGGTATACTGGACTGAATCTGCTATTTTTGACTTGTCTATATTGTTTTCGCACAAGGTGAACGTATCATTCAGATATTAACAGTAAAACGAAAATTCTCTGATAGACTGCCCAAGTAAACCACTCTCTAGTTTAGATATATAAAAAGTTCGCTATGGGACGCAGAGGCGACTCCATTGCAACTCCATTCACTTGTTTGTATTGTTCACCACTACATTCAAAGTCAGCATCTGTGGTGCAATAGAGCAACAGTTCCTTGAAGACATCTACCGGGATTCCAACATTTATAAAGTTAGTTTCGACTGTTCACATGCATAGTTGACCGTACCCACAAGAGAAACAGTGGCAAATGGAGATGTTATATCCAGCGATATCATTGTTTTATTCACAATGTAACAATTCTTCATTATTAAGTTTTATAATATCATCCTGTGCCACTTCAGTAAATAAAACCAGATTAATATAAATAAAAAACTTAGTGGTCTGAGGCTTTGACCTGCGATTGATATCATCCACAATTTAGGTAATCAGAATATAAGACGGGTAATTTTGGATCCGCTGAATGTTTTATTTTCACAAACGAAAATAAGACGTCCAGAACGTAAGTATTTATATCGTGAAATAATGGAGAATATTTGTAGCTCAGGTGGATGGTCTTGGTTGTATTGTGTTACCTGAGTTGGGTTGTTTAATCGATTAAAACACTCAGCTCACAGAACACAATACAACCAAGTATTTATATCGTAAAAAACCTGTTTATGACTACCTACAATGCTTGAGAAAGCCATAAACTACCTATAAGATTCAGTTCACCTTGATACGTCCGTGCCGAAGAATATGCAGGGGATTGCAATACTCGTTTACCTAACTCATATAAAGCGACCTTTGCAGTTACAGAATGAGTACTTCAAATGAGAGAACCATTAAATCATTAACAATTACTTGCAGCGTTTGTATGAAAGTAAAAAGGTTGAAAATTAATAGCAAACTTACGCGCAGTATAAACGAATTGTTCCACTTTTTAGCAAGATCTAAAGCCCGTGTATCTTGCCATGTGATAATGCGAGTTCGTGGTTTTGATGTTTTCCTGTGCAAGTACTCATCAATAAATGAAATCTTACCTATCCCAAAGTAGTAAACTATTTCGCTGGACGGAGATACCCATACATTTGATTTGATCACGAGAAATATTGGCATCTACATCACTGTTGATAAAGTCATTAGTATTACCTTGTATAACATTATCCAGTAGCTTGCATAAGCATTCCCATACAGCTTCAGGGTCCAGCTCGCAGGCACCATCAGGCCCTTCAGTCCGAGATACCTAGAAGACAGAATTATCTGTAACATCATGTTTCAGAAACAACAGAACAAAGCTGGACTTTCCTTCATTTAACTCGTTAGATTATACCTACAGGTCACATAGGTCAAAGGACAAACAGAACATATGATGTGATGATCAGCAATAAATTCAGCTCAAAAAGTTAATAATATATCACTGTTATATCAAGCAATCTAGTATTTAGTTATACTCTACCTGTAATGTCCAAGATTACTCACATAGAACGAATGCACACAGAACAAGGGCCCAACATACCTACTAGGTGTGCTAAAAATCGGAGAACTATGTGAAAACAGGGACTATAGCACGTTAGAATCAGTCATAAGTCCTGACAACATCGAAGTCAACAGTAGATATTATTGACTGCTAAGATAACCTGTTGCATGAACAAATACCAAACGATTGTTTCGCATGCAACAAACTCTACTTTTATACTGATATTTTGACAACAGCTGGACATGGATAATGTTACAACATGAGTCTGGGTCAACTTCACTAAATACCCATAGAGCTACGAAGTGCACTGGCAGACAATGCAGGTTTGTGTGCTGCTATCCAGCTTAGAGACAACCTAACACTGAATAAGGTAGAAGCGTTCCCATACACCTAACATAAGTCATGGAAATGTCTACGCAAAAAAGATTGTTCAACTTTAATCTGAGACATACTTCAGATGAACGGATTCGAAATCCAAAATTAGGTCGTAAAAAAGCGCTAGGACCAATAGTCCATCAAAGCAAAGACAAGTTCGCAACCTTGACGGCATGCGGTCATTAGCCATATTCTAAATCCGCATATGGAGAAAGGTAGATGTTCCACAATGTTAGGTAGACAGAGTAACGAATTACCTGGTATAAGGGTGTGGCAGTTCTGTTTACCAAACTAAATGGTAAAATAGGTGGAAATTTTGTCCGAATACACGCCAGTACGTTGATGCAACAGTATATTTCTACATCAGCTTAAATAATTGTTAGTCATTTGAAACATTTAAACCTCAATTCCCGCATGAACAATAAATAAGTTAACTTTATTCGGTTACACCATCTTCTAAGGAATCAAAAGGAGTCCAAACCAGATTTACTCCACTTGCTTTTCCAACAAAATTTAAAGTTAAAGAACGTCTCAACTATATGTAACTAACCCAGACGTACAAGCACCAACTTTTACGGATCACAAAGCAGTATGAACAACCTGAGGTTGAGTCGTCACGTATTAAGAAATGCTTCAAAATCCACCAAATCTTCACAGTTGGCCTACAACTGAACTGTTACATTAAAATGTTGTTGCATTCTCAAGTTAAGCTGAAGCTTGCTGTTTCACTAGTAACCAGTAACAAAATCTAGGACTATATGAGTTTCATATCAAATTAAGATTAAACGAATTGACAATAAATTTGGGTTGGTGCCAAGTTATGTACAATACACTGACTCACTTTACTGCTGCTACGTCCAATGACTCTAAGATCCATGGTGTAAACCCTCGCGCACGCATGAGTACTTCCGAAATCAACACCCAATATGAATCTCGAGACCATTTGCTGCAAACCAATTTCAATAACACAAGTCAAAAGCAAAAAATAAAAAGCCGAATCTATATTTGAAAATGACTTCTAAATCACATCGTTTTTCTATCAATTAAAATATCTTAATGATCGTGTTCCGGACTAGAAATGGCAACTGCCTTTGTGAGCTCTCTCAATTTAGCCTCTTGAATGTCGACTAAAGTCATTAACTCGTTAACCTGACTAGTAAGCTGATCCAGTGTCTTTTGTATGTAATCCTCCTTAGTATTCTCTTTTCTGGCTTGTCGGCGATATTCTAGTAGTAGGCACGTGGCCCCCACAAAGAAAATAATGATTTCTCCCAGCACCTCTGCACCAAGATCAACAGCAGCATCCTCACTCAACTTGTTCACTTCTTTTGGTTTTTGAAGACCCAACAATTTTAGTTTTAACCGGGTTTCCCATAAGTGATATACTACGAAAAATATACTGCGATTTTATAGAACTTACATTGTGCTGGTGGTAGGCACACATAGTGTCGGAAAAACGTGTTCGTCTTGGCTTTTCGTTTCAAGTAGTTTGCGAGGGGCTTTCCAATTTGTTTGATAGCTAACGCGCCTAACTTAAAGACTGGGAAAGCCCCAACCATATGCAGTGGTCTTCTTCAAGACAGAAATACTTATACTGGCCGCCTCCAAGCGTGTGAGCATACGACCTTACGTTGATTGGTCTATCATGAAGGAGCCAAATTTGTTTCCAATATCCAATATCTAATATGTTTACGAACTAGTGTAAATCAAATGATTTCTTCAGGCTAGCTTCTGGGTTTTGCGGATCGGTTCCAGGTCTTTAGTAGATTCCAATGCCCACTGTATCTCTGATTGACCCAACGAGTACTTCGGTATTGACTAAATTTTTAGGGAACTGTGGTGCAGAGGGGTTTCTCAAGTGTCGTGCTGTCAGATAGTTTTTCAGACTGTTTCCAGAAAGAAGAAGAAGATTTCCAGCAAAATCAAGGAACAGGGAGTGAAAAGAAAAAACAAGGTGAAAGAAAGCCGGACGGAAAGGAAGGAGAAACTGGGGCAGATTGATAGGAGATAAATAAGAGACAGAACCTAAATAAATAGTGTGAAATCATAGAGTCAGAGAGGAGAAAAGAAGCGAGTAAGGTTATAGGACGGATTTCGGTAATAGGAATAGTAATGCTGTTAGTTGATGGTAACTAGGCGAGATATGAATCATGGAAGTATAAGGTAGAGTCGTCGTCACGATGATAATGGTGGTGCAAAAGATTCTGCATATGGTCGACTGTGCTGGGTTGTACGGAGTTGGTAGGTTGTAACAACCCAGCCAGTATCCCAGCTGGATGAGCGCAGGTCACGCGTCACTGCGTAGCTGTCCAAACTCTTCTTGAAGCTGTCGACAGACAAAGCATCAGCGATCTCGGCAGGGAATGTGTTCCAATAGTCTACAAGTCAGAGACAAAAACTGTGGCGCCAAACGGGATTTGTCCATTGGCAGGTCATTCTCCTCGGGTTACCACGAGTACCATCGCAGTGGCCATTTGGTGGGATCCCGCCTTTCGGATAGCTGGATTACTTGGCCTTTTTCAAGCAGTTATTGAATCACTATATAAGTCATGGCGACTAAAAGGGTAAAGCCCTATGCAGTTCAGCTTATTCTCAAAGAGCTTTTACCACATCCCCACAGCACTCTTTGTTGCTCGCGTCCGAACTTTCCCCAGGAATTTCACATCTATCTTTAGACATGGTAGTGCAATGACGTTGTGGACCTCTAAGTACGGTCATATATATGGGTCTTGTTGGAGCTAGTGTCTAGTTTGTCAGGTAGTATTAGTTCGGGATCCTTCTCCATGGTGATGTGAGAACTTCGCTTTCTATAGGGAGTGGGATACTTTTGAGAGTCAGAGGTATGGAGAAACATGACTGGGCATTTATCCAGGTTAAACGCCAGCCCGTTATTATCTACCCACACTCGGAACAATCCGAGTTCACTTCGCAATCCACCTGATTCCGTTTCGGATGCCATCGCTCTCCATAAGTTACCATTATCAGCATAAAGTAAAAGCGAGGAGCCGAGGTTCTATGGAAGGTCATTCACGAAAGGAAGAAATAGCAGTGAAACCAGAATTGTTCCTTTTGATACACCAGACAATGGTGTCATCCAAGTAGGACAAGCCCTGTTAACTTTTTTAGGGACTTGTCTGCCATCTAAATAATCCTGAAGCCAGGAAGGTACTTGGCCACTGATACCACAGCCTTGATATTCTGCGGATGAGAATAGTGTGCGAGATCGTGTCAAATGCCTCGGCAAAGTCCAGGAAGTTCACACGAAAGGGGACTTGGAGGTCCCAGCATGCCATCCTGTCGTCACTGGCTGCCAGAAGGTTTGATGGGCAAAACACCCTTTCGGAAGCCGTGTTGAGCATCACTTTGCGCTGCTCCCTTGTCCTAATACTCGCTGACATAGTTGTCTGCCAGGCTGTTCAATACTTTCGACAGCACTGGAGGAAGTGCTTCGGGTCGATGGCGCTTCAGGCTGTACCTGTCTCCTCCTTTGAAGATGGTGAAGAGGATACCACGTTTACACTGTCGTGAAAGCACCCGTTTGTCAAGAAAGTGATGAAGCAGGCCACGGAGTGGACTGCATAAGAGACCCACACATCGTTTCGGACTAAGGTGATTTTCCTGCGCGGAGCCTTGACAGCTCTCGAGGACCATAGCAGAGGTCACCTCTATTCCCCGCAACTCTTCTGCACTAAGTAGTGCTGGAGATTGTTCAGGAAGTCGGTAATTTTGGTCTGGTGATGGGATACTCAATTGTGTACTGAGGTAGGCGCAGAACTTTTGGGCAGTCTCTAGTGTAGAAAGGTGCCTTCCCTTCAGACCTTTCGTAACGCAACCCCCCTGGGTGATAGACTTCCTCTTCGTCATGAATCCACATATGTCCTTGGGGTTCGCCTCAAGCTTTGGTGCAAGGTTAGGCTGAAACAATCTCCCGCACCCCCTTACCTTAATGTCGCGTCGATTTCTTGGAGCCATATGCGTGTCAGGGTGTGACGTTTTTCCGGAGATTTCCCGTTTATGCCACGATTCGTTCTTAGCTTTCGGCCAGCGTCCACTGCCTCATTTCAGTCGCGAAGCTCGCTTCATTCGCATTGTTGTGATTACTGGGACGTTTACAGGGATGGCCTTCTAAATGATGTCCCTCTCTAGTTCCTATCGTTAGTCAGTCGATAAGATACTACACCCCTGGTGCCATGGTACTGTTGACGTATACTGGTTCACCTCCATGTAGTTTTCATTGGTGCGGCGGCGACAGGGAAGAAATACCTCCCATGATAGTTGTTCGCTGGATACCAGGTCAACCACTCCCACACCGTGATCGCTCAGCTGAGTGGGGTCTGAACCTGTAAGGTTTCTGCTAACATATGGTCGCTAGTGAGATGGTAGTCCAATCTGGACACTCTTCTGCCTGACCCCAAGGGTTTCATCGCCATGTTTTTCATGTGGACCTGCCTTTTCGACGGCGTTCCTACCGAAGGTCTGGTGGGAGGTTGCCCTGCCCCACCAAAAGTTGAGAATCTGAACGTTTACACCCATCGCTATGACGATGCAGTCACGCTCAAAGGTTACCACTTAGAACACTGATAGCAGCAGTTGCCGATTCTTTTCCATGCTGCTAGCGAGGGTTCTTTACCCCCCTAACATGCAATTTGTTTCCAAACGCAAAGTGGTAACGGGTGGAGTTTGGGGGCCCTGATAGCAGACGCTCACTGCCTCGTAGGCCTTTTAGATGGTCACTTGTGAACGTTTCCACTCCGCCTGTACCTTGCGTTCCCTGTACCTCCTGAACGGACGCATACCAAATACGCTGGCTTCGATATCAGCTATATCCGGAAATAACCAAGTTCCTAACAGGACTATAATGTTTGGGGCAAGGCGGAAACAGAGAGATCATAGTTCCCCCATCTTGCGTCCGAGCCTCATCGTGGTACTTCCAGAAATATGGACTGTCTTAATGATGGTGGACTGCAGACAGCTATTTGAAGTGTTGAAAGCCTTTCTTGTCCGCTACTGACGCTTTCCTGCCTCATCCCACCGTTTCTGAGAACCAAAACCATTTTTAAACATCTTGAGTATAATTCTAAACTGGTACACCAGCGGCCAGTTCCGGAATGCGGTGGGCAACCATGGTTGTTAGTTTCAGCATGCGGGGTGTTTCCCGAGATATTTTTCCCCTCGACCATGGCCAGTCTCGCCTGGTTCTAACAATAATAGTAATACTTTGTCTTAGGTTTACAGGTGCATATCAAGTTTGCAGATATGGTTGTCAAATTTAGTGGTGGAAATCTTTGATGATATTTTTATTCCTCTGAGGACCTGAGAGTCCCAAGGCCAAAAAAATCTAGATCACAAACAATAAATGCGCGCTTAATTACACGAATGTTCATTAGCAAGTATAATCATTTCTGACGGAAATGAAAATGAAAATCAGTTTGATGAATACGTGAAAGAGGCGTACAAAGAAAGAAGAGATGTAACTTAACTAGTCCACTCATGAGGAAGTGATGCTGGGTCAATTACTCAAGGATTTTCATCGGAAAGATCATGTTAGGGGAGGCAAGTACGAAGGCAGATTCCATGTACTATTAGAAAGATATGCATCTCCAGATTCGTTGAGACGCCAGGATATGCTATATAGACAACAGCATATAATAATGATAATTTAAATAACGCCTCCACGGCAAAACGTTCCACGTTTTTTATTCATGCCAAGTTGAACACATATCCACCACGAACGCAATAAAGCTGTGCATCGCACCAGGTCGCCCAGTGAACAGTAGTCAAATTCCTTTCAATTTTCAGGTTGACTCAGTGATTCGGCACCTTTAGGTAATGTTGTAGGTATTTTTCTACATTTCTAAATGCCGTTTAGAGCCGTAACGGACGTCGTGGCATCAGGCAACCGTTTGGAAGTAAAACATTGCAGTAAATGAATGATTCTACGTAACAATGAAAGAAAAAGTTGAACAGAAACCAATTGTGATTCCCGCTTACTATCAGGAAGCTTTCTGGTAAAATCTTCACTTGATACCATTAGTTGGGGCGTTCATCACAAGTTGCCCGATTGTAGAGAAGTCGCCTGGAGGCTGGGGCAGCAGTATTTAGGAAAAGCGCCGATGAAATGATGCAGTTTCAATCTAATTGTAAGTTTCCGAGAGTCTATTTATGGCAAGAATGACGGATGACAGGTTGGCTGCCGTTATGTGTGTGAGAACAACACAAATCTTTCAACCACTTTGGCCAGGGTCAGGGTCCCCTACACCGGTGCGGGATCTCCCTGAGTTGAATAGTTGCTATGTCGACCAAGCATACCTTTGGTCCTAGGTTAACTATCCCTACCGTCGTGCATACCGTTGCCCATTGCTGTCTGTCAAGCCACTCCGTTTTCTCAAAGAGATAGACATAAGATACGGGAGCGTTAAATAAAATGATGGAATTCGACCTGTC